ATCTATTCTATTTCTTCATGCATCAGAAAAATTATAGCAGTTTGAAGGCTGACCTGATTATCTCTTTGTCCTTGAAAGATTAACCTCTGCACTAGTTGTAGAAAATTCCAGAGTTAAACTACTAATAGTGGTAATATCACAAGTACACAATTTGCTTAAACAGGGATTCTGAATGAATTCTAATAGTTTAGAAAATAATTTACTTCTGATAGTTTAGAAAATATATTTTTAATTTTCAAATGGTTTTTAAAAAGAAGAATGGAATGCAAAATATTGATTGAAAGGTTGCTCAAGAGTTGAAAGTTTATGTAATATTATGGATTCACTCAGAGAATGTCACCAACATACATAGATTAGGTTTTTTAATTCTTTCTCTCTCCAATTCATATGCATATAGTATATATATAACTTTGTCTGTTTTAATGTGTTTTTTTCTAAATCCTTGCACTTCTGAAATGAAAATAGCATTAACACCTCTGGTAAGACTACATGAACATTTTTCCCTGAATACTGTACTATCACATACAAATGCCAAATACAGTGAGTGACTGATGTTAGAAAAATTAAAATTTTAGTTCACTTCAGTGTAGCTGTTCAAATTGAAACAACTTCCTTCTTCTTTCTGTAGTGCTCTAAAATAGATACACTGAAAGTTAGATTAAGAGATAATTGCCACTAGAGATTTTTGGCTATTCATAAGTGACAAACATATCATAGATCTTCCAAAGCTATCTCCAAATGTGATAGCAGTAGTTTTTAAATATCTATGGCTAATGTAAATAAGTAAACTAAATCTGCTTACCAACAGTGTCAATTAACTAATGTGTCTATGACTGGCTTAAAACAGTAGTTATAGTGAAAATTTCAGGAAGAAAAACTAAACAAATGTAGTGTTTAGATTCCCAAAAAGGTGTCCTAACACCAGTCTTTTATATTCTTTCCCCTGGCTGTCTAGCATTGATTCCTTATCACCTTTGAGCTCAGGACAAGTTAAATTTTTAATGTATTTTGGATGTCAGGATTGCTTTCAATTATCCACATGCCACAATTATACACTGCATTGCATCATACACTGGTAATTGCCACAGAGTTTTTTTAGGAATGATAAGTGTATTCCCTAAAGTGTTCAGTCAGTGACATTTGGCAACTACTGGTTGATTTGTTTCACACCAACAAAACTGAACTTCAGCATTGTCAGTGACTGATGAAAACTGTATGGAACTAAATAAACAGGTCCACAGTTCATACTTATCCTCTTTCAAAAAGGATCTTTGCTGAATATTTTTTTAGAAAAAGAAAAAGAAAGCTAAATTAAACACATGCTAGGCCTCCTGCAACATTATCCAAATGCGTTTTCTATTACTCAGCAACTGAAGGACTCAATTCTCATGAGTTTTCAGCTTTATTGTTAAACAAGTATGTAAAATAAAATGCTTGTTGAATCACAGCACACTATTCTCACCACTGTAATGTGTTTTAACTCCCTGTTGCTGGGCCTCAGACCAAAACAGATGTCAGCCCAGATATACTGGAAATAAAAAAAGATAATAGCAGTATCGGGAACTGTTGTGCTTCTTACCGATTTTTACAACATTTTACAACATAAGAATGCTGGTTGAGCTTTTTTATTTTTTTCTAGGACTGTCTTGTCCTGAAGGAGATGCTTCTTGTCCTTCTTAGATATTGGAGAAAACCTTACCCACAATTCTAAATTTGATGGTACATTTGGAAATCAGAGCTCTGCCATATAACTCTAATAGCAAAATATATGTACATGTAACAATGGATTTATCATTTCATAAGCATAATCTGATTTTTTTCTAGTACTGACTTTTAAAAATACATTAAATGATTAATATGACATAATTATACATAAGGTAATAAAAAAACCTCATAAAGTTAAAAACTAAATTTTTTCCTAGAGTAGCCAAGAAAATGGAGTCCTTCCAACTTCATAAATGAACCATGTAAAGCATTCATAGGTAAGACATAATAAATTTTGTAGAATTGAGAAAGTGTTTAATGGTCAAGGAATTAGAGCCGTGAATGTGACATTACCCATCTCAGTCTAGAATCAAGTCAAACACATATTCTGATTAATAGAGAAACTGAATCTGTTGTTAGCAATCTCTTTTTTTCCAGAGCCATTTTCTATAGTAAACAGTTCAAACTGAATTAGTTTTTTTAATATCAGAGTATTACAATGTTCAATTGTCATGTCATTAAATACTTCATTGTGATAAACTGAGTTTCAGTTGATCTCTCTCTCTCTCTCTCTCTCTCTCTCTCTCTCTCTCTCTCTCTCTCTCTCTCTCTCTCTCACACACACACACACACACACACACACACACACACACACACACACAAACATATGAGAATATTACATTTTAGTGGTAATGAAACAAATTTGTTTGTTCTTCTTTCTGTCTTCCTCCAGAGCTATCTCAAATGCTCTGTAACAAATACTTCTGATCCACAAGAAATCCAGTGCTGCCAGAAATAAGATTATCATGGAATAGTTCCCTAAAGTAGACTTAACACATTTTAACATCAGACAAAGGAATATCTCTTATAACTAGCTCCCAATGAAATCCTGGGCCTGTCTACCAGATCTGTCCCATGTACACCAAAAAATGTATGATGGAACATCAAAATATTGTTCAAAATGAAATTAACAAATGCCTTTGAATTTGGATTCTCCAAAATTCAGATGGTGCCCACTCTACTGTTGCTATCATTTTTTCCCGTCTTTGTTATTGGCTTTATTGCTATTGCTTCATTTTGATTGTTTGGAGCCTTCCAGAGTTATTGGGAATTGGGCAGTATACAAGTTTAATATAAATAAATACATAAATAATTCAAAGGTTTGTATTACTTCCATAAGGCTATTTTAATCATGAAAGTATTTATTATTACTTTTATTTATTTATTACATTTTGATGCCTCTTATCTCACTAATGATGATAAGAAAAGCTACAGGTACCTTTAGATACCAGTTCATTGACAATTTTTACTGTTTGTTTACCTCCTGATGGAACAATTCAATTAATTTCTGACTATATATTAAGTCAAAATGCATAGGAAAAACAAATGTAATTGTCTAATAATGGCTTAAATTTGAAGTTATTTTAATATTGTGGATATTCTGTTGCTAGAATTAAAATCAAACAAAAACTAACAGGACACCTCAACAGTACATTATTTTTAAGGCTGGGAATAAATTGTGGAAATCTTTGCAGTCAATCTTTCAAAATAAACATTTAATTTGCCTGCTTAGTTAATACAGTTTTATGTTCTATAATATAAACTGTGATTTTGAGTTCTCTGTTTGTGACCAGGTTAGTCCTTTACTGGCCTTTTACAACGTCTCTTTTCATACTGAGAATCTGCACAAATTATCCCCAGATATGTATTTGCATGATGGAAATAGAGGAAACATGCCATTTTTTACTTGGTCTACAACCATGATGGCGAACCTATGGTGGGACTGGAAGTCGGCAAACAGGCCATTTCTGGCCTTCGGAGGGCCTCGGGGGATGGGTGGGTGGGGAAGGCCATTTTCACCCTTCCCAGGCTGCTAGAAAGGCTCTGGAGGCTGGGGAGAGCAAAAAACGGGCCTTCCGGTCCCACTGGAAGTTGGCAAATGGGCCATTTCTGGCCTCTGGAGGACCTCTGGGGTGGTGGTTTTGGATGGGTGTTTTTGCCCTCCCCAAGCTCCTAGAAAGGCTCTGGAGCCTGGGGAGAGAGAAAACTGGGCCTACCAGGCCCACCGTGCCATTGCATGCCAGGAGCGGAGGGGGGGGTTGTGTGTGCATGCTCAGAGGTGGGATGCATAGAATTATGGGTGTGGGCATGTGTGCACATTATCGCCCTCCCCCCTATTCCTGGCACATGATGGCAAAAAGGTTAGCCATCACTGGTCTACAATATACATGATATAACTAAACAAGGGAAAAATAACAGTGAAACTGGAGAATGAAAGCTAATACTGGTATTATATACACTCTCCCAATTTATTATTATTGCTTCTGTTAATTGTTTCTTCTATCTTGCTAAAACCAGCCATAAGTATTCCTTTGATATGGCAATGATGGTTCTTGGTATCTATTTCCGTTCAAAAATATGCTCTCAGCCTTGGTATATTTATTTGACAAATATTGCTTGAGAAAGAAATATATTTGAATTTTTGTACAAAAATAAATACAATATAGGCTGAAGGCAGATAAAACTCACTTGACACCATATGATAATGAGCATTTGAATGGTTATATAAAATAGTCTGCTCAGGATGATATGCATGTAATATGGTGACTGAAATGTTCAAGCTAAAATGGCGAAGACCCAAATTCAAAACTATCCCATGTAAATTCATTAGGTGACTGGGCCAGTTGCTATCTCTTATCCCAAGCATATGACACTTGCTGGGGGAAAAATGGAGGAAAAGGCCCTTATTTTTGTGCTTTCTATGTAAGTGTCCCAAAGGTGTTTTTTCAAGAGCTAACTGGACTTTCTGGTTTTTCTTTGAAGACGTTTTACTTCTCATCCAAGAAGCTTCTTCCGCTCTGACTGGATGGTGGGGAATGGAGCTGAAAAAGTTTCTTGGATGAGAAGCAAAATGTCTTCAAAGAAAAACCAGAAAGTTCAGTTGCCTCTTGAAAAAAACACCTTTTGGGACAACCATGACTTGGATGACTGAGAATCTTCATAGACATTTCTATTTAAGTGCATCTCCTAAACAGGTTTTATACACAAGTAGCATAGAGTGCAGGTAATTGGGATAATGTTCCTGTTGATGTATGGGAATCATAACAATTTTCTAAGCCTGAAGATTTTAATTGTAATTCTTAATGTTATTAATTTTAACATTATTGTATTAATATTGCATCATTATATCCACACACACACACATACATATATATGATTGATATTTCTCTGATTTAAGGGACATCCATGCTAATAAACAATGAAAAATAAAACTATCTACATATTTGTACACTTACCCATGAATTTGGGAGATCCATATCTGTGACAGAGCTTGTAAGTTGTGGTTGATGTGAACAACAAGTACATTTCCCCCATTCTTCTATCCTTGTGGTGAAGAAATCATAGGGACTCAGCTGAGTATCTGGGAAAGATTTCCACTCACTCCAGAGCTGAAATTCCATTTCAGAACAGGTGTCATTATTTCCTAGGTTGTTAATTCCAGAAATGTAAGTTGTATCCAGCAATGCTGAGATAAGATCTGTTCTAGGCTCAATGTCTGCCTTTAATCTTGAGCTCTCTTTCAGTATTTTTTTGTCCTGATATTTTGTTAATTTCATACATGAAATTGGAGCTTCATCTTCACCTTCAGAGAATCCAGGATCTTGTGGTGATATATCTTGAAAAGAATATTTAAAAATAATAATAATGCTTTATTTATTTATTTATTGTTACATACTTACTTAGTTAATTTATTTAATATACTTGTCTTCTGCAAGAACAGCTACATTTTAAAAGTAATAAAATTAAAAAAAAACACATAAAGAGTAAAATAATAAAAATCTGGTCATTTCAGAGAACATCTAAACCTCATCATTAACTGAATGATAATAGTTATATCTTACCTATTCTCAGATGTTACCAAGACAATATACAGTAACTTGGATAAAAACATAAATATCAATTATATATTTAAAAAAGATTAATGTACCCTATTAAACAGTAAAATATAATTAAATCATTGCTAGAGATACAAGCAGACAAGTTGAAAAGGTTCAACCAGAAGACTAACTAAAGATTTCAACTTGCATATCTAGGTTACATAAAAATCTTTACATGGATGACTGATAATCATAAAAGTGAAAAGATATGTCAGTTCCACAAAACTAAATTGAAAATATCAGTGCAGATATTTTCTGCAATAACACACATGTTGTTCTGTTGAAAAATTTATTGTCTGCATGTACAGTACTTTAAGTTTACTTGGTGCTACTCAACACAGTGTTTTAAAGTTTAATTGGTGGTTGATGATTGATTGCAATTACTCCCAGAATCTTATGTTCTGATGCTATGGTTTTGATTTGCTGATTAAATTCAGTATTTTAATCAAAGTTATAGAGAGGAAATACAGCTCAGAATCAGTTTTGACTGGACCAATGTATAAATCCTGTAAAATAAATAATATATTTATTCCTAAATTATAATTACTTGCATAATATACCTAGTTTGTAAATCTGCGACGAGAATGCTTGGATTTTGTTGTTGGTAGCTTCTCAAAATTGTATGCCTATTTGCAGACAGAAAGACTTTTGGATGCATCTTCTTTATTTTTCTTTTTTTAACAAAAACGCATAAATCTTATTGGTTGCTTAATGTTTTATTTGAACTGTGTCCATAGGTTGGAAGCTATATTCTAAAGTTGTGTTGAATATAGAAATGAATTTTATGGATACATTTAATTTCATAGATTGAAATTAAATCATTTTACTTACTGTATGATAATATATGCTTGATGTCATCCAAACTGTGCGTACTGTCTTTCTTATTTCGAACTAACTTCTGTAACCGTTTCAAGGTTCCCATTGTTTCAGCTTGATTTTCATCTGAATCTATAACCTAAAGTAATAAATTCATATTTAAGTAGGGTTTTTTCTTCCAAGTTTTTAAGAAGGAAAGATTTCCTACATATAATTTCCTACATATAATTAATTCAGCTTGCTCACTACTGCACTAAGCCCAGGATTGCTTGAAACTAACTGCAAAAAAGAAATCTAAAAACACCTTTGTAGAAAAATATGAAGTCCCGTGAATCTTATTTCTATGTGGATTAATGTAATTTTCCAAATGTCAGAGCAAGTTCTGCTGTGAAATGACCACTAAAGGCATTCATAGATTGGTAGCTCTACTTCTGGTCACTCAGGTCCTATTCACCTCCCACATGGACTACTATAATGCATGTTATTTGGGATTACATGAAAAGTATCTGGAAGCGTTAGCTGGTGAAAAATACAGAGGCACTGTTAAATAATGTATGCTCCCAAAACATCACATGCTTCAAGAACGGTACCTGCTAATCTTCTGTTTCATGCGCTGAATTGATTAACTATTTAAGGTGCTGATTATGACCTTTAAATCCCGCATGGCATGGAAACAGGTTATTTGAGGAACAGCCTCTCCCCAGTGACATCTACCTGTCCCACCAGATCTGGCAGGAGACACATGTTGTGAATCCTGTCACAAGAAGTTTTGTCCGGTGAGTTCTAAGAGGAAATCATTTTCTGCCATAGCCCTCATCCTATCCAACATCATTTCTCCTAAAGTGAGTTATGCTGTTGGCCTTCTGGAAGGGCTTCAAAACAATCATCTAAACATCCAACAGTTGGATGTTTAGATGATTGTCAAATTATGACTTTTTTCTTTGAAACAGCACTTTCAGAATAATAAATGAATATTTCTTAAGATATGTGTGGTAATTTCCCATTTCTCTGGAAAAATTTTCTTTCTGGCCTATTAAAATATTTGTGAGATGTTCTGCTTTTTTTTCCATATTGGGAAACAAGGAATTATTTCAGTTTCAGGAAATCATAATTGGAAAAGGCTTATAATGAATTAAGCCAACCATTAAACATTTTGCTGCGCCATAATCATCGTAATATAAAGCAGTTATTTGAAGTTTTCATGGCTGTATAATTTTGCAGAAATCATGTGAAGAGTTGTACAACAGTTGCTGTTGCAACAATTTTTAATTAATTAGTTTTACTTATATTTCACTTTTCCATTAATGAGTGATAATAATGTAATAATAATGTAAAGTTACAGTAGGCCTATTTAGAACCTATTGAGGATATGTCCAGATGCCTTCCAAATCTACAGCAGTCAATGTCAGATTTCTCTAGTTATATTATTGTTACTTTTGTAATAGTAAACATCTATATAATAATTGACCAAATATATCAGGAAGAAAAATGGTAAAGAAATGAACCCCCAGTACCTTTTTCTCATACCTCCATAAATTTCTGAATTATTAATAATAGTATCATCAGTAACAGTACCCGTTTATTCTGTGCCACTTTGTTCCTTAATGTTCTCAAACTGATGAATTGTTAATTACTTCTATATTATTATACAGAGACCCTAGGATCAGGGTTCTTTAATTTCTCATACTAGTGGATTAATTAGTGTAGAGTGCCTAGAGACACAGCATATGTTTATAAGTGTTGAAAAACATTTTGGAAACATATACACCAACTCAGAGTGTGCAAGATTGAAATTCCAGCATACTGATTTAATGGCACCCCAGTTTATATCCTTTTAAAAGGCTGCATGCAAAACTTGAAATCCATATAAAAAGAAAGGATCTCACTAAATAAGATTAATGCTTGCCACACATTGGCAATCACCACTCACAAGCCAATGCTGTCCCAACCTAATCCATTTGCTTTCCTGCCTCAATCTGATGTCCACTTCCAGTCTGATCATCTTCCAAATTGCACTTGGCATGTTGCCTTACAGCCTGTGATTCCAGTTAGGAAAGCAGCAGCAGCACAGTAGCCAAATGTGATAAGAGGGTTGATTCTGCCTTGTTTGTTGTCCTGCCCTCTTACTTTGCTGCCTGCAAACAGATCACTGTTTTATCCAAAAACTCATTTCTAAGTTTATTTACAATCTTACTAAAAACCAACATATGCACCCAATATAATCAAGAAAGCCTGCCAGTATCTTGATTTATGACAAGTGGTCTGAGGCTTTTCAAAATAATTAAGAAAAAATGCTTCAGAAATCATATCTGCACAGAACCTTCTGCTCATGGTAGCCCATAAAGCCTTACTTTACACAAATGGATTCCTTAAAGCAATGACATTTTTTCCCCCGGCTTACCAAAAAACCTGGAAAAAAAAGTTGGGCTACTTTAATGAAGTAAACTAACAAAGAGCTTATTGGGAAGAATCATACAATTCTACTGCCTAACATAGAATGGCCCTAGGAAACAATATTGAGGAATTTACAGAGAGAGGGCATGGCTACAGCAGTTTAAAGTGACTAATAGCAATAGGCAGATCCAACACCCTAATTGCATTGCCACCACCTCTGCCTGCTGTAGATACTGCAAGGCATATATCCGGCAAAGAGGGAAAGTATTCTTTTAAAATTGGAGCAGGTAATTTTAAAAAGGCCATAAATTTGTGAGTTTCATTTCACATCCAAATCTTGACTGCACATCAGTCACATAACCCCATTATTAAATACAGTATTGTTTCACATTGCAGAAAATCATCACATTGCAGAAAGTTCCAATTTTCTTAAAGAGAGAAAAAAATCTTAACGATATAACCTAATTAAGACAAAGAATTTACGTGGCATGCTGTTTCTTCTTTCCTTGGTTCTTGTAGTAAATAAGACTTTTCTCCTGTAAGAAAATCTTCGTTTTTTTCTGTCCATGAGGGATAAAAATTACAAATGGTTATTGTGAGGAAATATATTCTTATCTATTAAATATTTGATATTTTCTATTAAAAATATTCATTTTATAAAACTGTTAAAGAAAAACTGAAACAATAATGTATGTTTACATCTCCATTAAAAATGTAATGGAGAAGATTTTATTAAATAGATTTAGTCTTATTTTCCTGTTTCTTGAATTATTATGTTCATATAATCCATTTTTGCAAGCATAGCTTCATTTTTTTGTTTGTTTGTTGTCAACACCTAAAATGCTGTGATGATAATATAGTCTAAGGGTATCAATTGCATCTACCTGCTCTGTGGATGAGAAGGGGGAATAGAATGTTCACTTGTAAAATCAGATTAACAGAATTGGAAGGGACCTTGTAGATCATCTAGTCCAACTCCCCACCTAACAGGAGACCCTACACCATTTCTGACAATTAGTAGTCCAATCTCTTCTTGAAAGCCTCTGGTGATGAAGCTCCCACAACTTCTGAAGGCAAGCTGTTCCATTGGCTGCTTGTTCTCATTGTCAGAAAATTTCTCCTTATTTCTAGGTTGAATCTCCTTGATCAATTTCCATCCATTATTCCTTGTCTGCCTTCAGGTGCCTTGGAAAATAGCTTGACCCCTTCCTCTCAGTGGCAGCCCCTCAAATATTGGAACACTGCTATCATATCTCCCCTGGTCCTTCTCTTCACTAGACTAGCCAGGCCCAGTTTCTGTAACCATTCTTCATATGTTTAGTCTCCAGTCCTCAAATCATCTTGGTTGCTCTTCTCTGCACTTTTTCAAGAGTCTCAATATCTTTTTTATAGTGTGGTCACCAAAACTGGATGCAGTATTCTAGGTGTGGTTTTACTAAAACTTTGTAGAGTGGTATTAGTACTCCACTTGATTTTGATTGTATCCCTCAACTGTTAATGCTATTTAGGATTGCATTGGCTTTTTTGGCTGCTATCACACACTGCTGGCTCATATTTAACTGTAAAGGTAGTTTTAGATTTGAAAACTGAATAGAATAGCCAAATGCTTTGGTTAAACTTGACTTTACAGGCCAAAATGCATCCAAACTGACTGGAACTATGCTTTAGCATTAGTAAGGAATGCTGCAGGTTGTGTTGCTATGAGTTTGTAGGTTAATCTTCACCTTTTCTGTCTTACTAAAAAACATATGAAAGTGGCAATTGACTAAAATCATGAGCAAGTATAGAGAAAATTGTGACTTGGAATACAAGGGGAGTAAATATAACAATAAAAAAATTGATGAAATTAAAGAAAAAGAAATACAAAGGAATAGTAAATGGTATTGGTGTAAACTATATTTAATTTTATTTCCTTTTATCCTCCGCCTCTAATTTATTTTGCTCAGTAGTGTACATTCCTTGAGTATAATAAACTTTTAATATGAGAAATACTTCAGTCAATTTTTGGAGATTATCATCTGTGTGATTTTAATAATATTTTAAAGCAAGATTATTGGTTTAAGTAACCCAGATTTTTTTCTCCTTAAAATAATGCCTTTACTAAGCACTGATAGAATTGGCTGATCTAAATCCTGCAAAAGCTGTACAATCCATGGTCTCAATGGGGCCACCACCATTTTTGCATCCTCAAAAATCTTTGTACTGAAGTTTCAAGACAACATGTCCAGTTTTAAAAATATTTATTGTTTCAGAATCAAGGATGGAAAAAAGAAGATTGAGACCTAGCCACTAGGAGGCAAACTCCTTCCATTCTGTCTTTAAAAAAAAAAAAAAAGCTCTTCAAAAACCCTTACAATCTGCTTTCATACATATTATTCTGGATAGAAAATCAGTGTCATGATTTGGATCATTCTTTACATTTGAGGAGATTTTGCAAAATGGGAATGAAAGTATTTTGCCTCATGGACACCTCACATTCCTTTTTCAACGATTGAAAGCCCCCAACTTGTGAAAAATCCTACCCCTTTTGTGACGTTGTCACAGTCTCCTGCAGTCATCCAAAGATTAGGAGGCAGAGTTGCACCCATAACTCTCAATTGTCAACCCTATCTAAACACTTTTTCTTGTTAGCAAAAATAATAGGTGCGTTACTACAGCTATCTAGAGCCGAGGTGGCACAGTGGTTAGAGTGCAGTACTGCAGCTACTTCAGCTGACTGCTAGTTCAGCAGATCAAATCTCACTGGCTCAAGGTTGACTCAGCCTTCCATCCTTCCGAGGTGGATAAAATGAGGACCCAAATTGTTGGGGGCAATATGCTAATGCTAATGCAATATACTAATATGCAATATGCTATATGCTAACTTTGTAAACCGCTTAGAGAGGGCTGTAAAGCACTATGAAGCGGTATAGAAGTCTAAACAATAATATCTCACCAGTCTCACTTTGAATTGCACCAGTGCAGCTCATGTAACGGTGGTGTTTACATCAATGTACCATGGGGTACAAAATATTGCACATGCCACTGCATTCTGAATCAGCTGAAGTTTTTGAATGTTCTGTTTTGCAATAGCTCAATCAGAAGTGACTAGGGTATGAATGATAATGAGCAATGTCTCCTGATCTAGAAACAGACACAATTGGTGTACAAGATATATTTATGCGAAGACTTTTCTACCCATAACTATCAATTGCTCCTCAAGCAGGAGCTGTAAATCCAGAAGGATTTCCAGATGGGGTACCAACTCCGCCGGGGAGTGTCACCAAACCCAGAATTAGTGATAGAAGTTTACTGGATACAAATGTCCATAAAACCCACAGTTATTCAGTTTTATTAGGGTTGAGCTCTGAACTATCCGTTCAGATCTGCACAGCTTCTAGACACTGAGATAGCATCTCAGGAACATCATTTGGATGGCTTGGGGCCCAGAAATATCATCAGATATCACATGATATGTGACCTTCTGCTGACAAATGATCCTACCTAGTGATTTCATGTAGAAGTTAAATAGGGCAGGGAAAGAGTTGAGCCCTGCATCCCCTCAAAAGCAGAAGCTTAGGACTAGATTCTCATTATCAATGCCAAGCAGAATTGGCCTCGGAGAAAGAGAGACCATACTGATCCCATAATTGGTAGCCTTTGAGAGATCAAAGAATGCCAGAATGAAATGATCCCACAAAAGGTCACCTACAAATGTAATTAAAACCATCTCACTATTATAACCAACCCTGAAGCCCATATAATCTGCTTCCTTCAGAGTTCTTTTGGAATGCTTGGCAGGTCAGACTCCTTTATCAGCTATATAATCATGGATAAAGGAAGTGTTATGATAGAACTATTTTATATCTATTATGAATAAACTACATTAGCGTTTATTAGATTTTATTGATCAGATTCTAGTGTCCAATGAGGTCAAGCATTAATTCTAATATCAGTTGAATTTGGAAAAGGGGGCAAGGAAAATAGAGAAACAAAGAAATGATCTTGAAAAGACCACTTGATAGTATGCTGCAAACCAGTGGTGGTATTCAGCTGGTTCTATCCGGTTTGGGAGAACCGGTAGCAGGGGCGGCAGGAGGCTCCACCCACCTGCCCAGATGTAGCCACCTCCCATGTTTGATGCTCTGCACATGCGCAGAAGGCCCAGCACATGCGCGGAGGTGGCGTGTGCGCTCACATTTCCAAACCGATAGCGAAGGTAAGTGAATACCACCCCTGCTGCAAACCCAAGGAGTGCAGAAGATTATTACCACTTCACTACCTTTACAGCCGTTATTTAGACTTTAATATTACATATTTAATACATGTACATATTAAATACATTCACATTCATGTTTGGTCACATTCGTGCCTTCTTTTTTCATGAAATGGGATTTTTGGGGGCAATAAATATATAGATGGCATGCAATATGAGCATTTATTTCCTCCCCCCCATAAAATGGGGAATTAAAACCCAAAGTATAAGGTATTACACTAATATGCACAACTCTAAACTCTCCCCACAAGCAAATTAACTGAGTGTAACCTGTTCCTTTACTATTATGTTAATAGACATTTGCCTTTTGAGAACAGAAGCTTTATAATGTTTTGATGGCATTCGGATGCAGCTTAGCTATGAATAATTCTGCAAATTTGCAAATAAGAAAGCATTTCTTATAGAGGACAACTTTATAGTGAATGCAGAATGATAGCTCAGCATGACCCAATAGCTTTTCAGAGAGTTCTTTCCCATAATTAGGTTATGCTAGGACAGTTCCAGAACTCTGTTATCCATGAAATTCTTCTCTAGCAAAAAAGGAAGCTGCTGTTTATCCAGCAGGCAAATTAGCTGCAGCATAAAGGAACCAAATGTTTGTATGATATGATAACTTTATATTTATAGTTTTTACACAATGCTGTGTCATGAAATATGCCAATTTTGTGCACAAAAATTTATAATTATACTATTAGAAAGGACCATTGAAGTGAATGCTATCCACTTGCTGCCACCTATTTAGGAGAATTTGAAAGAATGCAAATCCTGCTGAACTGCAAAATCCAGCGTTCAATAGGCTTTTGATGATGGATTGCTATGGGTTATATATCTGTGTTCAGCAAAAACCTGTATTTTAAAATTTATGAACAATTCAGCCACATGGCTTGGAATGAGTAGAAAATTATCAGTTTGTAAAAGCAAGCTGTCAAAAAACAAAATATTTTTGAACATCATAATTTAAATGTCCTTCATCAAGAATTCCAGAAATTGCACCAGAAGTGCAAAACTAATGTTTGTTGTTTGGGCTAGCAAAGAAAAAAAATATATGGACAGTTATTTAGTTACTTTAATTTAAAAGGTATCCATGTAAAGGTTTCCCATGGCCTGCTATGTCTGATTCTAAGGTGCGGTGCTGATCTCCATTTCTTAGCTGAAGGAGACAGGGTTGTCCAAAGACACTTCCATGGTCATCTGGCCAACATGACTATACACCGAGGCACATGTAACACTGTTTTCTTCCTGCTGAAGTGGTACCTGAAATGGTACCTATTTATCTCCTTGCATTTGCATGCTTTCAAGGAACTGGGGCAATAATTGGAGCTCACCCTGTCACCTGGCACTCAGGCCTTGAACCTGAGTGTCAGCTTTCCAGCTGACAAACTCAGCAACTTTAACCACTGAGCCATTATGCCCCCTTCCAGGCAATGTACATGATATAAACATAACAAAAGGAAGAATCATGCCATGATCCCCATCATGATCTTCTATTACTACTAGTAGCAAGGGTGAAATGCTCCCGGTTTGGACCGGACCGCGATGGCGGTGGGTGGTTCGAAGAACCGATAACAAAAATCCCTCCCCCCCTCCATGCCCAGCTGAGGCGCACGATCATCAGAGCCTTTTTTAATTACTTTTAAAAGCATTTTTTTTACAACCTCTTCAGCCGAAGAGGTTGTAGAAAAAATGTTTTTAAAAGAAAGAAAGCCTCTGCCGATCAGGCAACTCAGCTGGGATCATCAGAGGCTGTTAAAAGCATTTTTTTTTACAACCTCTTCGGCTGAAGAGGTTATAGAAAAAATGCTTTTAAAAGTAAAAAAAAAAGTTGGCTACGCTCACCCAGTCACATCCCCCCCCCCACCAAGCCATGCCTACAGAACTGGTAGTAACAAATTTTACATTTCACCACTGACTAGTAGTAATATTAAAATAATACAGCCAACCATTATGGTACTGAGCATGGTGCATTTTTAACTTCCAAAGACCTTCCAAACTAGCCAGTCTTCATTCGCCTTTAAAAAAACCATGAGAAAATGGTTGCCCTAGCCTAGCCTTAGGGACAAGTTGTGTGAAACAAGATTACTACTGATCTCTCTTCCGTCATAACATGATGGCTATTAAGGCATATGTTGTGCTGGTAATGGTACTGAATGTCAATATTTTTCTGCCTGGCAGTCTAGTTTAGGGTAACTCAGACCCTCATGAGTGTATATGGTTTAGTGGTTCATCTATAGGATTGCAGCAAAGAATTTGCAAGGATCTAATGGATAGATTTCATCAGAATCACATTATGTTGGATTCTGGCTTTAGGGGTTGAGGGTGAAACTTATTGTGCTTCTTCTCTTCCTTCCTCCAGGGCCAGAGGGTGTTGATAGGAGATGAGAGTTCAAGCCTGCAGCCCCTGCTATTTGGGTGTCACAGGACACCTTGTGCTTTCTCTTTTCCTGTTTACTATCAATATGAAGTGACTGAGTAAGGTCATCTGTCAGTTTGGGATGAGATATCAACAGAATGCAGATGGTATTTATTTTTTTTTAAATTTGATTTATATGCCGCCCTTCTCCAGAGACTCAGGGCGGCTTACAATGCATTAAGCAATAGCCTTCATACTTTTGTATATTTTATACAAAGTCAGCTTATTGCCCCCACAAACTGGGTCCTCATTTCACCTACCTTAGAAAGGATGGAAGGCTGAGTCAGCCTTGAGCCTTGGAGAGATTTGAACCAGCAGTAATTGCAGGCAGCTGTGTTAATAACAGGGTGCTTAGACCACTGTACCATCAAGGCTCCATCAAGGTATAAATTATAGATCTCCATGCCAGGCTATCTGAGTGATGCCATAGATGTGTAGCTTCGATCTCTGCAGTCTCTACATTTCTATCGTGTTTCCCAAAAAATGTCCTCCCCGAAAATAAGCCCTCCCCCGAAAATAAATCCTCCCCTGAAAATAAGCCCTCTCCCAAAAATAAGTCCTTCCCAAAAATATTTAAATATTTAAAATATTTAAAATGTACCAATTGCACCCATTCCTAAACCAGGAAGCCCTGTTCATTGTCAGTCACACCTTAGTCACCTCCCAATTAGATTACTACAATATGCTTTTGGGGGCTGCCTTTGAAGAATATTCAAAAGTTTCATCTGGTGCAAAATGTGGTAGCTTAATAAATTATGGGTGCTGATTGCTTAGCACATGTGCCATCTCTGCACCGTAAGCTGCATGGCTGCTAGTACAGTTCCAGGTAGAATTCAAGGTGCTACTGGTTGCCTTCAAAGACTATGATGGCTTGAGGTTGGGTTACCTATGGGAATTTCACTTTCCAATGCCGTTTAACTGTTCCATTATTTCTGGTGAAGAGTACCAGGATCCATAATGAAGGTATTTTCTGTCCTGTCATTTCTCCTCCTCCTTCCTCTCTCTCCCCCCACCCCGCCCTGTCTCTGTCTCTGTCTGTCTCTCTGTTTCTCTCTCTCTCTCTCTCTCTCTCTCTCTCTCTCTCTCTCTCTCTCTCTCTCTCTCTCTCTCTCTCTCACACACACACACACACACACACACACACACACACATCAGATGAGACTTGCCACAACCCTGCTACCTTTTCTCAAGACATTAAAAATCCTAGTTTTGCTTGTTAAGTTTGGGGCCCTGACACTGTGAGAAAGTCTGCTTCTTGGTTATACTGATTGTGAAGTGTTGCATTTGTTCCTAGTTGCTATTTTATGCTGTTATGTTATTTATGTTTTTAATTACTGGTTGAGTTTTTACTCTGCTTTTATTTTGTTTTCATTTTAGCTACTCAGAGTCATGTATACAAAGTAAATACATAACATATGGCAGGAAGAGGTCTTCAGCAGACATTATTTGCTTCTGAATAACAAAATAACAGAGCTGGAAGGGACTTTGAAGGTCTTCTAGTCCAACCCCCTGCTATATCATGCTATACCATTTCATACAAATGGTTGTCCAATGTCTTCTTAAAAACCACAATTTTGGAGGCATGTTGTTTTCTGGATTAGGCAAGCAGAAGCTTTCTTTGTGAGCCCACAATCCACAACATGATTTATTGGTAGTGACTACCAACTTAATTGCATTTGGTAACTCACGGGTAACTAATGCAAGTTTCTGTATCAGTAACAGAGAAACACTGGAACTGCACAGTAAACCTGTGACTGCTGCATTTTGGATCACATGTTTTTTTCTGGATGATTTTCAAAGCAGCCTTATGTGGCCTTATGTGGAACAAATTGCAATAATTCCCTTGTGAGTTAGCAAAGGCTTGAATGATTATGCTCAGAGCCTCCTGTTCCAGATAAGGCTACAACTGGTATATCAATTTATCAATTGGTCAAAGCTTCTACTTGTTCTTCCAGCAACAGCAATGAATCAAAGATGTCTGTCCCCACCCGCCTCTCCATCCCCAAGATATAGGCTTGTGTCTCTGGGGAGCATAACTTCATTAAATTTTAAATTTGATATAATTTTGAATCAGTAGACTTCTGAATTAACATCCACTTTGTCAAAGGGTTTGGAATGCTTATTTAATGGCATGTCAAACAACAACAACACAACATCTAAAATGGGACAAAAATGTATTACTGACCAAATACCTCATTTTCTGATATTGGATCCTGGATGAACCTAAAGGAGTGGAAAATAAAATGATTATAATAATACTTGGGAAGGACTCAATAGGTGGATAAAAAATCCAAATCCAATTTAAACATTTGGCTAACTATGCAACCAACTATAATAGCATTCACTTAATTATTCTGAAATTTAAAGAAGAATCTCACTATGTTATTTTGATATTATGTTGTAGAGTTTAAACACCATGACCATTTGGATTAAATAAACCAGGTCTACAAAAATGCATATCCTAGAAAATTTGAGAAAGGACCATATCATTTATCATAAAGCTTTGGATGAGTAAATTATTTTTCTATCCCTTTAATTCATTTGAGTCCCACTTCATCCTTCATAAATATAGTTGACTTATATTATTGAAAAGCATCTGGAAGCTCCAGTTGGTGCAAAATGCAGCGTCTCACATGGTTTTGTGCAGACCCCGGTGTGCACATGTATCACCTCTCCTGTGGGAGCTGCATTGGTTGCCAATTTGCTTCCAGGTGCAATTCAAAGTGCTGGTTGTCACCTTTAAAGCCCTTCATGGCTTGTGACCAGGTTATCTGAGGGATTGTCTCTTGCCAGTCACATCTACCTGACCCATCAGAGCAGGGAGGCAGGGAATGTTGCGGGTCCTATCCCCAAGGGAGATACACCTGGTGAGACCCCGAAGAAGGACCTTCTCCGTGGTGGCCACCTTTCTCTGGAACATCATTCTCCAGAGATTAGAATGGCCCCCACTCTAATACTCTCCCAGAAGACGCTGAAGACCTGGTTCTGCTAGCGGGCCTGGGGAACCCAGAGTGGTATGGAGCCCATTAAATGGCTTGTGTGATCTGCTGTTGCCGGGATGGGGGATGGGAGGTGTGGGGGATGATTTTGTTATATTTTACTATATTAATTTACTTGATTCTTTTTGTTAGTTTTTATTGTTTTAAATGTGGTTTTATATTCTGTAAGCCGCTTTGAGTCGCCATGGGTGAATAGGTGGCAATATAAATTCAATAAATAAAATAAAATAAATAAATAAATTATGCAATGTATGCTGTGAGAAGAGTTAATTGACTGTAATACAAAAATAAATTCAACTGCATAGCTTAGCAAAATATTATCTGATATGAGATACTTGCAGAAGAGTGGTCATAGTTTGCTGCTCAGTAGTTTAATATGCATTAAAGCTTTTTTTTTTTTAACCCAGGACTGCAAATTTGTGTCACCAGTAATTGGGTTGGAATATTTATACAAGGGCCTCAAAATTCTACAGTAGCAAAATCTATCTTCTTCCATTTGCCAACAACCCAACTAATCATTTTAATCCTTATGGACACTGTAGACTAGAGATTATTCTCCACTGCCTATGATCAATTTCTTGCTGAGCATGTAGTGCATGGCTAGCTTCCAGCATCAGACTAGGATAGCCCAACTCTATGATTAGACAGAGTGAGGCAGTACATATTGGGCAGCACACATAGTTCTGTTGGATTGCAGAACTATGCATGTTACATTACTTTGAAATACACTGTCTATACTACGATGATGTTCTCAAATGTGGTGAAGGATGCTATGTTGAAGCAGACAGCAAAATTAGAAGTGAAGTGCAGAAGAGAAGGATGGAAGAGAGATTATTGCAGTGGTAAGGACTCAACTGAAACTCTCGAACTTGGAGATGAAAGGAATAGATTATGTTGCTGGATTATTGGAAATGTATGTGTTTAGATGTGTTGCTTTGTGCTTTAGTAAATGCAACCCCTTAAGATATAGGAATAGGACGAGGTAGATAATTGGAATTGTTACTGCCACGGATCCTGGTTTTGGACAAGCAATGCAGTTTGAGACAGTGATGTGCAGAGACCAATAAAGCAAGCTTATACTCTGAGCTTTCAGTTCGCTGTTATCATTCAAGGAAGCAGTTTATCAGTAATCAGTTTCTTTGTGCTATGATTCCTATTACTTAAAGTCAATTATCAAATTCTGGATGAGAATTTAATTCTGGCTTGCACCAATCAAGACCCATAACGGCAAAAGGAGAGGGGATTTCTCATCTGGGTTTTAGATTTGGCATCAGGCAGCAGCCCAAAAGAAAGAAGAGGAAGTGGCTTTTGTCTTCTTTTGGGAGGCTTTGCATGTGACCAGAAGCAGTATACTACAGATAATAGCGGGTGCCAGGCTTTTCTACTGACACTGAATCAGAAATTCAGAAATTATATCAGGTATTCATAGTTACCATGACAACCATTGGTTTATTCCAAATCATCATGGCCCTGACTCATGTGGGTGGCCAAATGTTACACCTCACTTTTGTCTCAGAATGGAAGTGATATGTTCTGAGACCGAAGGATATTAACATCTGTCTCTTATCATGGTCAGATCATTCTCTGACTGCTAAACAGCTGACAGATAAACCAATTGTTTCACCTCAGATTATGCTGTCTACAAAGTAATTAGATACAAAAGAGAAGAGGATCGCTTTTATATGTAATAAACAGAAAAGAATATTTTAACATCTCATTATGAAGATGTACTTTTCAAAAATTCATATTACCTCTGCTATTTAACAGCAGTGTTTTCAGTTTTCATTTAGTTATAGTGTTAAATAACACAGGAGACTGCTTTAATCTAAATCAAACCATTGCTCTTTCTAATATAATTCTAAGATTTTAGATACTTTTGCAGGAGGAATCACAGATGATTTCTACAGTGGTACCTGCACACATGTGCCTTCAGGTTAGTCTTGACTGCTGGCACCTGCCTTGTGTTTAAGGCAGGCCTAGAACCCACAATTTTTAGCCCAGTGTCTTTAACCATTATATTAGATTAAGTCTTGTACTACAATTTACATCCCACCAGTGTATATAGAGCTATAAAACTTTCCTCTAAAGCTATGGATACAATTCTTCCATGCTGGGAATTTCTGGAAACTTCTATACTAGGGGTGTTAAACTGGCGTCCTGTGGGCCAGATGCATCACGCACAGGTCATGCCCACCCCAGCTCTGCAAATGGGAAAAATGCCACAAAACATCATGTGATGGTAACATGATGCAGCGAGTTTGACACCCGTGTTCTACACTAACTGAATAATTCCTCAAATGTGTTAAGATCCTTCCTCCCCAACTAATATATATGCCCAAGCCAGGGTTTCTTCTTTTCATCCCAGTGGAATACTTGAAGCACCTTCTACTGTTTAGAATGAATCTATTTGTAACCATGTAGGAGATGAGATTTTAGTGAGAATAGATGGCACTTACCGGTATTTAAAAAATAGTATTACAAGCTTCAATACTTTCAGAACTACATTTTTCAAGTAATTACCATTTGTTAACACTTAACAACCACTTTGTCCAAACAAAGTCACTACTTAATAAAATAAAATGGTTTAACAGTTAATCTCAGCTCATTTTGCAAACTGATTTGTGTTTGGTTGAAAAGCAATGGGAAAACTTATCAGAAGATGTTCAGTTTATTGATATTGTGGTAGAAGTTTTCTGAAAAATAGTTTATGATTATATAATCACCTACAGGTCCTACAATGTGAACAAGCAGTAGATAGGAGCATAAAGATACAAAAAGGTCTACATCTTATGCCATGCAGCTAGATTTTGCACCCTAGACCCAGTAGCCCTACTTGGGTAAACCAAAATCAGATTAACTATTTGAAACACTGTTTCAGCCCATGCATCAAATTATATAAAATAATTGTAATAAATACAAATAATTGCAGTACATAATCCTGCCAAAATTATGAAAGCAAAAGTTTATAATTGCAAACAAAATGGCAGATAGCTGATAATGAACTGAGCAATTATTTTAGTTTTCAAAATTCACTTGTGCAGAGGATAGCCAGACATTCCATTAAAAGAACAGAGGCTAGGTAAGTAAACAAGTCTAAGATACCAAATGGAACAATCCAGTGCAACGATCTCCACTTACTTTCTTTCTTTTATTGTTGTGTTTTCAGCATTAGCACATTCCTTTGAGAAAAAGAGAAGAAGCAAAAAGGTTACTTTCAAGTTGTTTGAAGGAATAATAAATAAAATTTGTTTACAAAGCACTTCTCTAACAGAATACATTTTTGTTCCCAATATTTTTATTAGTTTATCAAAATATAAAATACAAAGAAAAATTAAAATAATGTGAAAGTAAAGGAAGAAACAGAGAAGAGGGAAAAATCTTGGGCATAAGGGGGAGAAAGGAAAAAAAAGCATTGACTTCCAAATCTTTTTAGCCCAGTAGAAAAGCTAATAACATACAGCCTCAACTTTTTACTTTTACATAATAATATATATCAGTCATTTCTATAACAACAAATCTATCCAATCAGCAAAACGCAAAGTCAAAGTTTCATTTTTTTAAAACCTCAAGCACAAAGTTTAGAAGTAGTTTTCAAGTAGAAACAAAGCTGTATTGTTTTCTTTGATTAGGGCAGTCAATTAAACCATCTCTGCTAATTCCATCAGTTTTTCCAGCGAGCCAGCCATTGCAGGAATTAAAGTATCTTTCCATTTTTGTGCATAAAGCATTCTTGCTGCTGTCAGCATAGCTAACAATAAAGTTCCATTTCCCCCCCAAGTTTTTTATCCATTAAACCTAAAAGAAAAGTCTCTGGTTTCATCTTTATATTCACTTTAAGAATCCTACTCCAATATATAAAAGGTATTTCAAATGTATGTTGGAAATGTAAATGTAAAGAAGGAACTTCTTAACATGTCTGGTGGACATGTAGCAAAGCAAAAAGAAAAAGAAAAAGACCCTGGAATAGGAAAAGTATTGGAGCACAATACTTCTTTAAAATATATTTATTATTTTGCAGTAAGACAATGGAAATGGGTGAGTTGTTTATTCTTGTAGCATTTTTCGAAGCTACTATAAGAAAATACATTTGAAGCCCAATAAATATCTGAAGGTATTATTACAAATCTGCTTTTGGGAAATAAGTATCTATTTCTATATCTTTACCAACTAATTTTGAGAGGGATTGCAGTATTAATCCTTTACAGAAAAAGAGTAATGCAAGCTTATCCCATAATAAATTGAAAAAACAGTTGGTTGACAGTGGCCATGATGCAAAATATTATGATAATATATCTATTACCTATTTTTTATTTAGATTTAACCCTTCAACACTTTTTCTGGATTCTTCACATAGTAGAGTTGCTCTCTGCTTATAAGCGAGAACTCCTAAAGTATTCTGATTGTTCTACAGGCACAAAATCTGGAAATAATACATAAATCAATATGTAATGCTTTGTTGTTTTGATTGAAGCTGCTCTCCCAAGTTTTGTATCATATTTAAATAAACATTTAGGATTGATTTTGAACAGTATGTATATTTGAATTCCTAATGCACTGTTCAAAACCTGAAAATTACAATACTATATTATAGAACAATTTAAACTACTTCTTGGCATTGATATTGCAACAACAGCTTGAATCCAATCAGCAACAGAATGACCCTTATTTACAAAGAAATCTGGTATTACGAGGGCTGGATTCATCCCATGAAACAAAGAAGAAAAGGAAGTCTCAGAACCATTACTCATTACAGTTACACACAATTCAACAATATTTGGAGGTGCTTTAGAACACACTTGTAAAAGTATAGAACCTCTCATTAAAACAGTTGCTTGTTTTTTCAGGCTTCTGTAGGAGCCTGGAATCAAAAGATGCAGATGTTTTAAGAATTATATTAATGATATGACTGATTTAATGTCATTAAATGCCATTAAAACAACCTCATATATTTTTCAGCTTTGTGCAAACTGGAAGAGAGAAGAACAAGGGAGACAGCTTTAACAAATAGTAGAGGTTATGTACTCACTCACATGAGTTCTGAAATATTTTTTTCAAAACATTTTCAAACCTGAAAATGTCCCAAAAATTATTCATAAAGTATTCATAAAGAATACATTTAAGCAAATGTTTAGGCACAAAATCACAAAAGCATGTAAAGAATGAGTCAATACTATATCCCACTTCCTGACAGATGAATAACCAGTTCTTTTGTCCCTTTCCCCCCAACTTTTGTTCCTATTTCAACTTACTGTCAGTACTGAGCACATTTAATACTTACTCAGTTTTATGAAAGTGTGTTCTTCCTTGGGGGTTATTTTCTGAATTTTTGTTTATATCCACCAACTTGATTTTTTTTCCCCTAAGCATATTCATATTTAGTTCTCAGTGTCACCTATTTATTACCATCCTGTTGGCACTTGTCAAATGAGTTTGTGATTGGACAGGGTGATGAAAATACCTCCTGGTGTTTAACAGGTGGATTTTTATATTTACTGAAAATCAAAGTATATAATACTGATTTTAAAATATAAATGTCAGGACTGGTTTCACTTTAAAAAAAATTGGTACTATATGTTTTCTTTTCAATTCTTTCATTACACTGACTATCTCAGCACAACTGGACCGCAGCCTTTAGGTACAGTATGGCAGAATTAACTAAATGTGATTCTACAGACCTTGCTGTAATCCAACTTTCACATTTTTCATCATTGGACAGGTTGAATAAGAAGCATGGAAGATACATGCTCCCATCATAAAAATAAAGACTGCTAGATCTGAATTGCAAAAGTCTAGATGACCACTAGAATTAAAAAGTATAGAAAAACTCTGACTCTCAACAACATTGGCATATTGAAAAGATACACTCCTGTTAGAATGCAGGATTATGTAGTAATGGTACCTACAGATGATGGTGATGATGATGATGATGATTACCTGTTTCCCCCAAAATAAGACATCTCCTTTTGAGCGCATGGCAATAAGGCCAAGCGCTTATTTCATGGTTCAAAAAAATATAAGATAAGGTCTTATTTTAGGGGAAACATGGTATTATTATTATTATTATTATTATTATCATTATTATTATTATTATTATTATTATTATCATTATTAATCTCTTTTATTCATTATACATGAAACTCAGTCAACTGAGCATTTAAAAATGTATCACAAATATCATTGACTGGCACTAATGGTTGAAATTTATCAACCAAGTATCTTCTTAAGATGTATGATATTTTGAGTAGCACAGTTTTTTGCAGTTCCACTAATTTATTGCAGGAAGCTGCAATTTCTTGAGGTATTTTATAAAATTCTTGGACATGGTATCAAGTGCCCCAATTACAATGGGTATCACTGTCACTGTCACTGTCATCCATAATCGCGTAGTTTCGATGGCCAGGTCACAATATTTCGTGATTTTTTCCAGTTCTTTTTCTTCAATTTTGGCATCTCTTGGTACAGCGATATCAATAAATTGTATGCTTCGGTTTTCAACAACTATGATATCTGGCATGACGATCTGCCTGTATTCGAAAGTTCCACAAGAGCTTCACCTTCTCATTTTCAGCAACTTTTTTCACTTTATGTTCCTATGACTTTTTGGATACAGGTAAATTGTAGTTTTTACATAATGACCAGTGGATTAATTTAACAACTTGGTCATGTCTAGCTTTGTAATCAGTTTGCACGATTTTGCTGCACTCACATATTAAATGTGAAATAGTTTCAACTTTGTCATTGCAAAGTCGGCAGTTTGTTTTATTATTATTATTATTATTATTATTATTATTATTATTATTATTATCATGTTTCCCTGAAAATATGCACTTGTCCTTATTTTTGAGGAGGTCTTATTATTTTGGGGCGCATGGAGCAAGACGGGAATCTTCTTGCCATCTTACCTGATTTCCAGCTCTGTCTCCCTAACCCTGACCAGAGGAAATAGCAAGGACCGGCTGTGCATGTGTTTAAATATTTTCAGGGAGGGCTTATTTTCGGGGGAGGGCTTATATTTGGGGAAGGGCTTATTTTCAGGGAAACATGGTATTATTATTGTTGTTGTTGTTGATGATGTTGTTGTTGTTCTGGCAATTCATCCTGATTCTCCCAGACATTTCCCAAGCAGAATTTCTTTCAGCATTTCAAGACTTTCACTAAATCTTCTCTCAGTAAGGGTACCTTTAAGTAATGTTCCTCACTCCTGAGGCATCCAGTAAAAAGAATACTCTGGGTCAGGGGTGTCAAACTCAAGTCCCGTGGACCAATCTCCTTTTGTTTTGTTTTTAGTTTGTTTCGCTAGCCCTCTGCCAGCGAAAATGGTGCTCAGGGGGACTATGTGTGCAGCCCCCTCAAGCTCTGTTTTCACTGGCAGAGGGCTGAAGAAGGCTGTCACAGCTGAAAATGAGGGCCAGGGGGGCACATGCAGCCCCCAGCTCCATTTTTGCTGGCAGAAGGCTAACAAAACAAAATAAAAACAAAACAAAGGAGAAATGTTTCCCCTTTTGATTTTGAGCATCCAAGAAGGGACAAGAAAAGAGCAAGGGAAAGAGGAAAGACAAAGTAAAAGAAGGAAAGATGAGAAGAGAGCAAGGAAGGAAAAATAAGTAAAGAGGGGAAGGAAGAAGGGAGGGAGGGAGGGAGGGAGGAGATTATAATGAGAGGGAGGGAAGATTTGAGGAAAGTCCTGCTTTAGTACTTAGCCACCACAGGTGCCCCCAACATGAGTGACTTTGAGCTGGTCATGCCTACACCAGCCTCCCAAGGTCAAACACAACCCTGATGGGGCCCTCAATGAAATGGAGTTTGACACCCCTGCTCTAGGTTATGAAAAGTAATAACTATTACCTGCAGATCCAATATCTACGCATTTCAATTGGCAGCATTACACAGATATCTTCAAGCCACAGTAAATACCAAATGAATGGAAAGATATTCCTCACTCTTGAGAATCTGACTTAGAGATAGCAATCTTTCTTTCTCACATGTTCAACAGCTGAAAAGTCAGTACACTTTTAAAACACAATCGATGTTCACACATTCCTACTTTAAAACCACAGGTATCTTTCAAACTTCTCATGGAGCATTCTGTCACTCTCTTCATTCTGGCTAGTTGAACCTTTTCAAAATCTGTACTTGCTAGCCATTGCAAATTTCATGTTCCTTTTTCTGTATTTCTTAATCCTTCCTCTGCCTACACGTACTGGGCACTCTTTTACAGGTGAAATACAATATTCATCTCTTCATCTCCACATTAGTCAATCTATAAAGGCCTTTGCCCTTCACTTCTTATGAAATCTCTCCCTTGCTTTAAGTCTTGTGTCTTATCTCTATTTATCTTCTTATGCTGCCTCTTATTCAGGACTCCTACTTTTACTTTAAAGCTCTGGCTCCTCTTTCAAGGCCATCCAAAGGTGGGAGTGTCAATCAGGTGGCAGAGACATACTCAAACCCTCAACTTTTAAATATGCAATGCATGTAAAAAAAAGGAACAAGATTCTGAATATATGGTCATATCTGATATTTTTACTTTTTAAACCAGCATGCCATGGTAATCTATTATTTCCAAATGAACTTCTCCCCTTTTTCCCCTTCTGCATATTATGGCCTGATCAAATACTTTACATTCACAGCTATACTTTTCCCAAACCCTACATTTGTTTCTAATTTCTCAAAAGAATTTCTCCCTCCTTTGGAAGCTCCATAGTTTTGATTTCTTAGTAGATTCTACACTATGTGCCATTATTTTTTTCCATTATCTTAAGCCCATTATCTTTTTCTGGTGAGCAGTTTATTTTTCTTATTTGCTTTAATATCCAAGGATGCTTGATTCTCTGCTGCTAACTTTCTACTTATAGATCTATAGTATAATTATATATTATAATATAATAACCAAATACCTAGCATCAGGTTAATATCCTCACTTCTCATTGCAATCCCCTACAATATAAGATGTGTCACAGATGTAGCCTGTGGGGAAGTGTCTTTTCTGTGGGGGCACCCGCCCTCTGGAATGAGTTACCCCCAGGGATACGACTGATCCCGGACCTCCGGACCTTTCGCCGGGCTCTGAAGACTTTTTTATTTCAGCAAGCTGGGCTGGCTTAAAATTTTTAATTGGTTAATTTTATGGGTAAGGGGTTTTAAATTGGGGGAAGCCAATATAGATTTAATTATGTTTTAAAGTATTTTAATGTTTATATTGTATGTTTTTTAATCCTGGCTGTTTACCGCCCCGAGTCCTTTGGGAGAGGGGCGGTATAAAAATTTAATAAATGAAATGAAATGAATACAAAATTGTATTCAATTAGGGTCAAATCCTTATATTTCTTTTTAAAAAGCCTGCTAATTTTTTTTTAAAACGCTATTAGCTTGTCTTCTAAGTGATAATATTCAGATGGTGACTGATCAAATGCAAAATGAGATGAGAATATAAGTAATTTCAGTAAGCTTAGAGTAAGCTTACCTATGAATGGTAGGTAGCAAAATATACAAGGCAGCAATAATTCCTCAAATTTATTATCCTTGAAAATATTTATGCAGAAGATAAGAAGCAATGTTCTTCATTAAACTGCATAGATACACTAATGAACCAAAATATGAAACTTTGCTGGAGAGTCTGATTTCCTATCTTTAAAACTGTCTGACATCATCTACTCTTATTAGCCAAGGTAGATGCTGCAGACCTTCAGTCAGACTCCCTCGTAGAAAGTGGATACAGCACCCACATCAAATATAGTTTTCTTCCTCTATTTTAGAGTATTAAGACATTGCTTGCCTGTTGATTGTACAAAGACATTTATTTAGTATTAATTTTTTGATCCAACTTAATCTCATGTAAGTATATTAGAATTAATCTTGAAAATGATGACAGCAAGGTTGCTGCAGAAATCCCAGTCTTGGTTTAAAGGATAATGGAATGATAAACAGGTCCCAATGTAAGGTATGGAAATTAAGTTGAGGTGCTAAAGAGTCTGAAGAGGAGCTGTTTGGAATATATATTTAATTTTCTAAACTGTACTTACTTTATCAAAATAGAAGATACTGGAATGTAAGTGTTGTCACCAGAAGAAGATATTTATGTTAGGTAAAGGAGATAATTTTGGATAGTGCAAGTGAGAAAAAATAATTATAGGCACCCAAAAGAAAAGTATAACAGATTTGCTTACTTAAAGCATTTTTATTCCACTTTTAGCCAATCAAAATATGTCAGGTGGCCTGATAGATGTTAGCTAGCTGACAGTTGAGCAGAAATAAAAGTAGCATTTGTCTCATCAAGGTGAAAGGAAGGTCCTGATATTTTTTTTCTGTCTCCACAGTCTGAACTTTTGCTGCTAGCCATATGAAGTGTATGTATGTATGTATGTATGTGATATATATATCCTTATTTGCCATCATGACCTTGAGAGGTACAGTAGAGATCTCTACCAATTATTCATTTTGATCTCTTTTTGTGATATGTAAAGATTTTTAAAAAGCAAGAAAGTTGATTTTTAGTTATTTTGTTTTGGACTAATTTAGGACTCTGAGAATAAATCGAATGAAACATTCTTCATCTTCGTTTATTAAACTGATTAACGCAACAATCTTGTCTTGCACAATTGCACCGTTTTATTTTTTCTTTTAATACTTTTATCTAAGTTGTCCTGTTTGTCAAAGCAAATATGAAATGTTCATTCAGAAATTGTGGCAAAGCTAAATCTATTCTAGGCAGCCTATCTTGTTATTGTCTCTGATAACACACACAAACATGAGGTTACAGAAACTTAGAGAAGCAGTTGCTGTTGGAATATCCTGACCAGTCCCGTCCGCTCCATAGGGACAAGAAGAATCAGGAATGACTTTGCTCACAGCCATTCATCCTTGGAGTTATATCTTGATTGGACAATTGCAATTAGATAGGTTAGAAGGGCTATGCATTAGAACACTTTATCTGTGAAACTACCTTCTATTATCAGGTAATGACATCCACTATAATTCAGAATAACTCAAAAGGACACTTGATCAAAGTATTATCATCATCAGGGACTATTAGGACATGTCTTTTCTGTTACTTCTCCTCCCTTGGAATAGTTTTTTACTTGAGGTCAAAACAGCCCCAATGCCAATGACATTTAGGAAAGCTGCTAAGATCTGGCTATTTTGAGAAAGCGTTTATAGACTGGTAGCATGTTGGATTCCCCATCCTGCAAAAGGAGATTACCATTATTTCCACATGTGAAGATGAATGGAAGGATGTTGCTGTTACCTCTGCTATAATTTTTGAGCTACTGTTTTTTATTGTTTGTGTATTTTTTTTAGTATTTGTAAGCTATTTGATGAATGGCATTTACATTGCTGCAAATAAATAAATGAGAAACAACTGAACAACAAGCAATTAATTAGCATACACAGAACGGCATATAATTGTATTGCGCTTCACATCTGACCAAACCTGTAGTAAAAGTAAACAGGCTATGTATATAATTTTCTTCAAAAATTGTTATATATATATCCAGATAGATGGTTAGAGATTAACTACTCCTGTGTAAATGAGTACTCAGTTTTTGGCCAGAATCTCAATTCTCTCCTGAGTTAGGGTTAGGATTAGCAGTTCAAACTGTTAAAGAAAACAAACTATATGATACAGAAAGCCAGAAGTATGTTGGATTTTTGATATTCACTGAGCTTAGTTTTTTTCTTTCAGACGTTCCATTATGATCATCATCATCATCATCTTTATCCTCATCATCATCATTGAATAGGAGCATAGAATTTGCTGGTTATTTATATAGAAAAGCTTCCCCAGCCAGTACTGGTTGGGGTGTAGTTTCTTCTTTGATGGTTCCTTAATTACAGTGTTATTTCTTCCTTAGTTGTTTATCTGCTGCTATTCCCTGCTTCCTGGGTGTTGGCTGGTATGGGTTGGGAGATGCTCTTACCTGGATGTTATTTGCTTCCTTTTTTATTTTAGGTTCTATGTCTTTTTTAAAAAATGATATGTAGATGGAGTTCATGTATATGTGTCTGATGATGGTTGATTTATCTGAATGGCAAGCTTTCAGGCATTTTTTAAAAATATTTTTGTATTTGGCTTGGTCTACAATATCAATAGTTTCCCAGATGAAATTGTGCTTCAGTTTCTCTATCTCGTGATAATTAATGAATTTCATCATATTTCCTAGTGCCAGTTGATGTTCATGAAGGCATTCTGCCAGTTGTCTACCTCTCTTTCCTACACAGTGACTGTTGTAGTCATTATATGTTGTGGATTACTTCTGTGTATTCTTCTTTGGTTACAAAGAAAATGACTGGAAGAAAACAAACAGCTCAGTAAACATGAAGAATCCCAAACTTGAACTCTGAACTGTATATCTTCTCTACAATTGCAAACAGAAACAATTATAATGCTGGATATAGCCAAATCTTAATGCCTGGAGTTTGTCTTCTAGTCGTATTATATCTTAACAAATCTTTATCATCTTATGTCTGATTTTTCTCTTCCTCTTCAATAGACATGTAGGTGTGTATATTTGTTTGTTTGTTTGTTTAATGTATGTATGTATTTATTTATTTAAATTAAAATAGTCATGCATCTCACAAGCAATTCTGTATGGTTAATGAAAAAAACCCTAAAAAAATAATTACCTAAAATAATTATTAACAAATATTAAATGATTAAACACTGTAAGAACAGCTGAAATAAAATGAATAGATGAAGACATTTTGTGTCCTGGTGGGTAAGGAAAAGCTTGCACAAAATTAGTCTAACAAAAACAATATTCTTATATCAATATTCTCCTTTTTTTAGTTGCAACGTGATCAACTTTGCATTTTATCTTATGAAAGAATGAAACCTTTCTATCAATCTACCTTGAGCCAAGCACTTACTGGTGTATTAGCTCTGCTACTTATGCAGGTATCTTCTTGTAGTTCTTGATTTTCTTTAACTGGTTCATACAAACTGTCCATAGAACCCTCCTGAAAAGTAAATAAATTATGTGTGTCATACTTGTATCCATTTTTGTTTTTAATTTATTCGTTGATTGATAATGTCATCTAATTTCTAATTCACAAGAATAGAGCACAAAATAATGATAATATTACAAATTATTTGTAAAATTTCCAAGACAAGAACTATGGTACCAAATGATTTAAAGATCTTGAAGTGCTGTTGATTAATTGATAAAATTAACATGGCTGCCCAATACAAACAGTGTGGCAAATAAGAAAAATAATCAACGGATACAACATATGGAAAAAAAATAAAATGTATTAAAACCAACTGAAATCAATACAATGGCAGCCATACTAAAATATACTTCAACTTATCCAGTTGAGACTCCAATTAACCTCACCCAAAGTCATGGAGAAAGAACCAAGTCTTAACTGCCTTTGTGAAGACCTATCAAAATCCCTCATGTTTAACAGTAAGTCTGTTAAATAATATTAAAATATTTTACTTATGTATTTGTGGATTGCTGTCACATCCCCAAACTCAGCATAATACTAGGAAATGATACAGATAAAATGTATCTGACATTCTTCTTTGATTCAGTCAGATTAAAATGGAACTGAGTTGTGGAATAGGAAATTTAAAAAAGCAGCAAAACAGTTAAAATCAGTTAACTGGTATCTGTTAACTGATTAAAATCAGTTAACTGGTAACTGGTTAAAACTGATGCCAGTTAAAAAGGAGAAGCCAACATGCAACATACTGTTTGGAAAGTAAATAATATCAGAGAAAAAATACAAGGAATGGAACCAATATTAGAGGTGAGTAATTGAAATAGTCATGATTGTCAGAGGTGAAAAGGAATAAAAAAGACCATGAAAAGAACATATGAAAAAAGATATAATGCATGGCTGTTTCTATGATCTTACTAGAAATCTTCAAGTCAATATGGAGGATTATAGTACATAATTGTGAACAAGAACGTAAGTATAATGGTTAAAAGGAAAACTGGTGGGATGGGGAAAAGTCAGTGAATACTATCATTTATCCAAGAAGGAAAATATTTCATTTTCTAGCTTTGTAAGAAACTCATTTGCTTAATTCATGTTGCTTTCCTCTTGGTAAATGTAAGCGTCTTTGGAATCGTGTGGTACTTATGCTACCCTAAAGGAAATTATGACTTGCAAAAGTGAAAACTATTCGGAGTAAGACTGATTTGATACATTAGAGAAACTAGATAGCTGTTTGATTTTCAGTCACCTGTTTCTTAAAACTCCTACATAACCACAGTCAGTAAGCAAGGCTAACAGCTTAATATCAGATGCTCATTGTTTTATACAATTTTCATATGACACCATTTTAACAACGGAATTATGAGTCACTACTGAAAGATAATGTTTTATAAGACAGCTTGCAAAAATGACAAACGCATTCCAAATTAAATCTGCTGTACTGTATCATTGCCAGTGAATCAGCACATGATCCTAGAAATATGCAGCAAGTATTTCTGATGATGAAATGTCAGTCTTGGATTACCAGAGCAAGTGGAATTAATTTTCAAATGTTAAATTGCAGCTGGGCATGCTCTACAATAGAAAATGACAGAGGATAAAATATAATCCAAATTGGGACAACAGTGCCTTACTAAATATACAGTATTTTTAAAATGGTAGTTAATTTATCTGAGACAATATTAAGCTAAATTCTAAACAAGCCAAATGTCCCTATTTCATGAAATATGACAAATATTTTTTTGAAATATTATGAAGTTTTATCAGAGGGAGAATGCATTAGAGAAAGTCAGAAGAGTCTTGCTTACACATATTCTGGTTGAAGTAAAATATCCAAATACTTGCAGGGGACTATCCCTAAATATTGCAATTATATTTGATTTTTCTATACTAAAATTATATTCTCTACTTCTATACTACTTCTAGCATTTTTTATAATATTCTTTTATGGGAAATATCCCCACATTTGTTTTTAGAAACTGAACAGCATTTTGAGAATTTGGACCATTAAGAGCTACTGTGGTGTCTGTAGATTAGATGTATTTTCTAATTTAACTCTTTATATTTTTATTGGTTTCTTTCATACACTCATAACTATAAATTACTCAGTTTAGATATTATTTTATTGTGTAAAAGAATTTGTTGTCTTAATACTTTATTATAAATCAATACATGGAAATAGAATATTTTCATATAGTGAACTAAATCAAATATCACCACTTTCTGTATTTATCTCTAATAAATAAATGCAGAATACAAGATATAAATATGGCTTGTCATAAAGAAATAAGACAAACGTTTTTAAAAATAGGTATTGCTACAAAAATATAGATCTGATCTGATCTGATCTTTAAGGCATAAAAAAGACCACACATAGATGGAACTGTTTTTTATACACATAATATCATTTTACAGAAGTACTCACAATATAAACACTCAATCAACATTTTAAAAGTTTATGACATTGAGATTGTGAACTTTAGGACTGTTCTGTAGCAAGCATGATAAAACTCTGTATTTCAAAATTTTTCCAACATATTTGTATGTTGTAACATATTTGTAAGAAATGAAATTTCAACTTTAATTCATGCTTCAAAATAAATTGGTTTATATTTATGAGCAAAAAAAATATATTTCCACTATAATCATCGAATGAAAGTTATTTTCAAAATTACTTCACAAAATATCTGCAAACCATACCATTGATTTCTTTTTAAACAAGCCTTTTTCTTTGCTGCTTTGAACACTTATTTTATTACACATATTACACATTGTCTTTCTAAAACCTTTAATCTCTCTCATATGACTCAATCTTATGCTTTTAAATTCAGTAAATCAGGAAGAAAAAGAAAGACTTACCAGTGAAAAGCAGAAAAAATTCATTTTGGAATAATTACAAAGGTATTCAGCATTTAGAAATGTTATACTATTTCAAAGAATCCTTGCCACACAATGATGCTGCTTCTTGTTCTTCCCAGCTGTTAAACATTTCTTTCTAGAGATTAGAGCAGGATAAAATCCTTGCAGTAATCCACTGGATTTCCAGACCATTATCAAATGAGATACAGGCTTGTGTGGCTCAGCCCAAGCAGTTCCCTAAATTAATCAACAGTGTTTATTAACAAATCTGGACATTAAAGAAAGGGAAAAATGATGCTGAAGCTTGGATTTTCATTGACTTAAAATTGATTTTTATGTTTCAAAAACAGTGAATGACTTCATTTATAATTCCATTATCAAATATGCTTTTATTAAAACTCTTCAAAAGAGTTGAAATAATTCCCAGCATTCCTAGGCAATTTGACTAATGATGGCTGGAAACCTTTAATTGGAATTGCAATATAGTTTAATATCACCTGGTTAAACTTCAGAAAGTAAGGTATTGAATGGCTTATCCAGTTGCATACTCCTATGGAGAGGTTTGTGCCTTTTGAATTTAAACTATCACATACTTTTCAGAAAAAAGGCACAGAAATGCAAAGGGAGGGTAAATATTGCCTAGAATAGAATGTGTTATTTGTTGAGATTCAAATGGAACAGGCATTTTATATCAGAAATTTTAGGAGGTCTCTATTAGCTCGGTGTTTCTGATGATAAAATAGTTATTAGTTAGACTGCCTTACCATGGTTAGATCATTTTTTCATAGTGGTCAAAGATTCAAGAATCAAATTGAGTAGCAAAAGAGAAAGTGGGTAGCCCTGCCGTGTACCATTAATCCTAGGATAAGATGTAAATAAAGTAAAATCATAAGTCTATTTCAAAAAAAAGTTTTCAATAATAAAATAAGTGTTAATGCAGATTATTAACAAATACAAAATTTATATTTAGTAACAGGTTTTGAAGACATGATAATTTTGCTAGTGTTAATATAACTGGGAAAAGCTTATATTTTTGGCCTACAATGATCATCCAAGAATTAAAACTGATCATAGTGTCTCTTGCATTTATGAACATGAATTTCTATAAACCTTTGAGCTGGTAATGACAATAAAAGGTCAAAGGGCATGGAGTTCTAATCTGTTCCAGATTAGAAGAATGCAACTACCAGACTAGAATTACATGCTACTTTATAGTCTGGAATAGGCTCATGAAAGGCAAGGCTACTATTGGGATAGTATCCTCCACCAAAATTCTGAATGGAATAGGTTGCAGTACTTGAGAAAAACAGAAATGTACATACAATTGTCTTTCTATAGAAAGCTGCCATTTCAATCTCCAAAATTTGCTGCCTATGGAAATTGCTTCATTTGCCATAATAATAGATTCAATCTTGATCATATAATAAAACCCTGATCGTGCTGACCTTTTGTAAGGCCTTGAAAACCTGGTTCTGTGCCCAGGATTGGGACCCTGAGTGTGTAATGACTATATTGGTTATATTGACATCTATGGAAATAGTTTACTCAGAGAACTGTACATAATTATTCTATATTGTTTTAACTGTGTGTTTCTATGATGTATGCTTCTCCAATTTGCTGTGGGCAGCTATAGAAAATAAATGGATAGACAGACTGACAAATTCCATTTAGGAAGGAATGCAGTGCATGTGAATGACATAGAGAAGTTCCTGCTTTTTGTGTTATTTATTAAAGCTTTTAGAGCAGGACATCTTGAGAATACCCTCACAATATCTGGAAATTGTGATAATGGAAAAATTAATCTCTCATAAAACATTCATTTCTAATTAAGGATTTGTAGTTTACACAGAAATTTAATTTCCTGTAAAAAGGAATGATCACCTCACCCACTCTCAGCAATAGGTTGCTTGTTCACCCATTTGCCAATTTATAGGCAAATGCAGTGTTGCATTGAGGTGTGGGCTGTCCAAAATGAAGATGTACATTCATACCCACAGGCAGAATAGGAAGTAAAAGGCTTTTAGACAGTGGTCTTATTTCCTTCTTGTTTCTCTCCAAATAGCACAGTAAGTCAACCCATATTTCAAGGTTTTGTAGCATTTTCAAATACCTTAAAACTTTAACTAGAAAAAAATATTTTTCTAAGAGGCATTAATATATACAGGGTATATTAAGTGATAATAGAGTACCAAATAACTTCTAAACAAACACTCCATTAGTGAATGTTTAAGTGGAAATTTAAGGATAAATTATATAATCCACAGTATATATTTTATATCATATTTAGTAGGTGATATTTGTCCAATCTAATTTAGCTCCATTATGTTAGAAGGAGACATAACCATTGCCTCAGAACAAGGAGATATGTAGTTTTTGGTTTGAATCTTCTTTATTATTAATGCTAATCTTTTGTGACTAAATATTTTTTAAAAAATGAAGCAATATGAAACTTTCTCAATGTTTATAAATAAATAAGCTAACTGGTGGGTAGGTTCCATCATATTTTATGTAGTGTTCCTCATCAGGCTATTATGGTTCATTGCACACTCAGTCAAATGTTCCAAATGGATTTGGCATTTTTGTCCACCTATTAAGTTCTTCCCAAGGACCTGAGATAGGCATATGTTAATGTTTGATGGTATTGGAGGTATTGTCACAGGATGTAAGCTGTTCCGGGTAAAGCTGCCTTTTGCAATTGACTGATGGTGAATTTGCCAATGCTAATGGTGTCCAAGTGGTGTTCCAATTGTTTTGGAATACCCAAAGCACCTAATGCTGAAATTAATATAATGTGGAATGGCAGCTTTACAACCATTTTATTTAGTTCTCACTTCTAAGCCAGAAGAAACTAGAATACATTTGAAGTGTGTGTATGTATGAGAAAGAGAGAGGGGTGTGTGTGTGTGTAGATAAGAGAGAGAGAGAGAGAGAGAGAGAGAGAGAGAGAGAGAGAGAGAGAGAGAGAGAGATCTATTAGAAGTTAGGATTTTAACCTGTAATTTTATTTTGCAATACTGGATAGAAATTTTTAAGTTCTATTTGGGGGCTTATTTATATATAACCTGATGAAACTTATGTCAACAATGAATTGTAGGTATAGCATCCATTATTCTCCAGAAGCATCTTCAAAACAAGACGTCTAATCTTAATGCAAATTTTCTGGTGAAATGCTGTTATTCTGATCATTTATTGAAAGATTGTCATTCCTTAAAAAGCAGCCTCAAGGAGATAGACTTCCTCACTAAATGGAACCAATTTCTCTTCTTCTTAACGTTCTTAATCACATAGTTTAGTTATTTTTGTGGCATATTCGGATCACTGACCTGAATTTGCAAAGATAGTTGAAAGACATTTGCTTCCTTCAGGTTTTCAAGTTTTCAACTACTTCTATTGACACATTTGTTTTTAGTATATGCAATTTGTGAAATAAAACTATTCTCCCTGATGCACATATACAAAGAACTGGACCTAGATAATAAGTACCTGTACTTTTAATGCAGCACTAGGCCAAATAATAACTGAGAAAGATTTTAAAAATAGAAAATTTAAACAAGTATGGAAATATATAATCCACTGTGTAAGGAAGCTTTATCATTTTTCTGTGTATCTAATTAGGTTAAAGATTGTGGGTATAATAAGAATTGAAAACAAAATTTCTAATGTTCACCAGTACCATTTCTCATGTATTATGGTAGTCAGTTGTCTACATAAAATGATAACAGGGGATCAATTTCTGTAGCAACTTACTGCTATCATAGAATCATGGACTTGGAAGGAGACAATTTAGTCCAGTGACTCCAGCTCACTATTTTTTGCAGGGTATTCATATTACAGCATTCCAGATAGATGGCTGACATGGTTCACTGGCCACCATCATTACAGGAGGCAACTGGTTATATTGTTGAACATAGTTCTTATGTTGTGAATGTTTTCTAACATTTCCATTAAATTTGCTTTCCTAATAGACAAATGTCTGAATAAATCTTACCCCTTCCATGTGGTATATTTTGTGGTGTTTGATGAATACTATTAAAATCCTCCACACTTTTCCCAAAGCTCAAATTACTGACTGCCTTCAATCTTTGTAGGACCTACTTCCTCATTTTCTTTGAAACTTTCCTCACACATGGTGCTCAGAATTAGACAGAGCAACCAAGATGGAATAAAACAGAATTATTTGCTTGCTCTAATTTTAAAATTATGCATGTGTTATTGCAGCTCAAATTACTTTGGCCTTTTTAACAGCTATAATATATTAGGGACGCGGTGGCTCAGTGGCTAAAACACTGAGCTTGTCGAGCAGAAATGTTGGCAGTTCAGCGGTTTGAATCCCTAGCACCGCATAACTGAGTGAGCTCCTGTTACTTGTCCCAGCTTCTGCCAACCTAGCAGTTCGAAAACATGTAAAAATGCAAGTAGAAAAATAGGGATCACCTTTGGTGGGACGGTAACAGTGTATGTGGGCCTTTGGTGTTTAGTCATGCAGCCACATGACCACAGAGATGTCTTCGGACAGTGCTAGCTCTTCGGCTTTGAAACAGAGATGTGCACCGCCCCTAGAGTTGGGAACAACTAGCACATATGTGCGAGGGGAACCTTTACCTTAATATATTATGAGTTTACTATGGAATACAGGTAAGTACTTTATGTTTGTTAATCTAGCTATAATTCAACAAGCAGAATTATAAACCTATGCAGTTTAACATTTGGCTGGAACATGCCAGGATGGAATATGGAAGCTGATTTCCATATCATCACTTTCTTAAAATGAAAGGATCAACTTTGAAGATCAGTCTATGGATTACTTACTACCCTGATTCTTGGCTGTACTTTTTGAGGAGCATGTTGTACCTGCACTGGTTCAACATTATGATCATCTTAAGTAAACATTTTTAGATTTTTTTTAATGCTGCATTGTTTCGTGAATGGAAGTGAGCAAGTATTTAAGTGATTGTATTATAGCCAAACTGAAGAGAGCAAGAAATAAATGGGACATTTTTGTTGTTTTCTGTATTTTGAAGCATTTTTGAAGTATTTAGCATCATATGACCTACTACAACCTTAAATCTAACCAAATATAGCACTTGCGAAAGCCAGGGTTGATAAGAAATTATGGGTTCATTATTTTTGGGCTTTGAAACTGACATAAAACACTTAAATAAATCAAGGGTTTGAAACATAATTGAACATAAAATGCCTTTTTTTAAAATTCCAAAGTCTTTAGTATGCATTTCCCCCTGCAATAGACTAATTTGTAGTGTTTGGTCGATTTGTATTAGCAGATTTCTGGCAATGCAGCCATTTACTTTCATTTTAGTTTCAGTCTACTATGGTTAATAAAAATAGTATCTTCACACATTCCATCTTTTATAATACATCAGCAAGATAAATTGTTAACTTTTGACAATCCCCGAGGCAATAATGAGTAACGTAGTTTTCTCTCTTATCCTTGATAAACACTTAGGATATGGAAAGCAACTTAATCCTCTTTGTACACATTCCCAGCTGTGCTTTCAGCCAACATCTTGAATTACTGCATTCTTCAATGCTATTTTGTGCACAATTTAACATTAAAAACTAAAAAAGAATCTAGATAATTTAAGTCCACAGTATAGGTTTAATATATACTGTAGCAAAAAGATGAGAATCCTACAGAAGCCTAAGCTACTAAAACTGTTGCAGTTGAGAGATAAATTAAGACTTTCAAGCACACAGGGCATCATAAACATTGATTGGAATACAGGCTAGGAGAAACTAATAGCTTCCTTTTGAGAAAACTAGGGTTGCAAGATCAGAGATAACCATTCATTATTTGTAAGCTTATTTGGTGATACAATTGGTGATAATACTATAACTGTAAGACATTTTTGGATTAGATCTTCTAAAGTAATATATAAATTATGAATACAGCTGACTTCATGATAGAATGTTTTTCATATAGCCTCAGCCTACTGTGAATCCTGTACTACACTTTCTGTTACATCATAGATCTGTAAAAGGGCATCTTTGCCCCCAGGAAGTGTCAAGGTCCCTTTATAGCATCATCTGATATTCTTATGCTTGCTATTAATTTTTTCTGCAAATAAAATTTAGAGTGGCTGAGATCAGCAACAGTAATTTCAAGAATGATGATAAATATGATAAATATACAATAGTTTTTTTTAAAAGGCAGGGAAATTTCACATCTACAGTGTAGGTATCCTGTGAAGCAGTGAGTTCCCATGTTAGTTTGGGCCGCGTACATAAACTTAAGAATACGGATTCAAATATTCTGATTCATGTTGATTTATTTTCAGAGAATGGATTGAATCTAAGCTAAGTTAACACCTTGGTTTTCAATGAATGACTCATTATTCACATTGATTTCAGTGACACATTTTTCCTCCAAAATGTTCCTTTCTGTGTTACATTTTTCTGCATTAAAATATTCCGGATTAATACAGAAAGACTGGTTCTTGCTTGAAGTAGTTGTACATGTTCAATTTTATATTACCTCCTTGTTGCCCAAAGCTTTCATCTTCTCTTTTACCTAGCTATTGGGACAGCTGAGTTTGAAGACTTGTCTGGGGTTTTTGACCAAGACTTCTTAAGAACCTAAAAGCAGATGTCTTCCAGTACTTTGTTTTCTTCTAACTGCAGCCCCAGCTTGGATTGGTTGCAGTTTCGACAAACACCACTTTCTTCCAGCAGCTTGTTGTTGCCCTAGGCAGACATTTATTGCTAGGATGCTATGTTCACTATTGGAAAGAACCACTTTCTAACAATTCTAATAATTGTTCTACTGAGATCTGGTAAGTCAATGAACTATCCCCATATCTGGAAGCTCATGCTCCATTTAACTCTTACATCCCTTGCATTTCTGCCAAGCATGGTAAAACATGCTTCCGTATGTTTTGCACAGTTCTGTAAAGCTTCCCTTTTTTATTTCTTAAAATATTTTTAAGTGGCAATGTTGCAGCAGTATTGTTATCTATTGAATATATACAGTTGTGTTAAGCCCTGCTAAAGTGAAACTAACCTTTAGATGATCCTAACTCACTGGTGGCATTCAAATTTTTTTACTACCGGTTCTGTGGGTGTGGCTTGGTGGGTGTGGTATGGCTTGGTGGGCATGGTGTGTCTTGGTGGGCATGGCTCGGTGGACGTGGCAGGGGAAGGATGCTGTAAAATCCCCATTTCCATCCCACTCCAGGAGAAGAATACTGTAAAATACCCATTCCCTCCCCACCCCACTAACCTGCTTTCCAGCTCCATTCTCCTGTACAGGGCAACAAAAGAAGACCCAGCTGATCATCTGGGACTCCGATCATCTGGGACTTGGGAGGCAGAGAATAGATGGAGTGGGGCAAGCCAGAGGTGGTATTTACCAGTTCTCCGAACTACTCAAAATTTCCATTACCGGTTCTCCAGAACCTGTCAGAACTGGCTGAATACCACCTCTGCCCTAACTGTTAACTCCAACTGTTTTGGAGGGAAACTTAGAACATTCATATTTGGGCAGGCTTTTTCAAGAACTATGATTGGTTAAGGCCCTATGGAGTAGGGTATAAATTATAGGCATTTGCCTGCTGTTCCTCAGTTCCAGTTTTGAGTCAATAAAAGTTGTTGTAGCTTGTTAGAAAGGGAGGATCTAACCCAATAACTCTCGATAAAAAGTAGTAATTGTTGCAGTTTATTTATTTGCAGTTTAAAGTATACTACAGGTTCAAGTATGCAATAGTAACTGACCTATGTCCTTTCTCCTCAGGTATATATCTGGAACTGCCTGGTGCCCATGTGGATGGTCCTTTTGTACCCAGGGGGAGGAGTCAAGGTAAGGAGGGATTGTGGGAGTTATGGGTTGTGTAGTTGAGTTAACCCTTGATGGACCATGGAGTAGTGGTTACATATATAGGTTAGACATTTCATGTGACATAGCTATGCTGGTCTGCTTCTTGCCTACTGAAGCCCACTACACAGTAAGTATTACTTTGTTTCTATTAAGCTGAGATATCAGTTCTTCCTTGGTACAATATTTCAATGGACCTGTAAAGGAATGTGGAAATTAAAACACAGCCTGCTACCTAATGCCTGCTATTGTATTATTGTAGCATCAAAGTAAGGAGGGTACCATAAGGAAAAAAAGAGAAAAGATCTGCATTAATTCCAAGTAAATATGTGAAAAGAATTATAGACACATTCCTGTATGCAAACATCTGAGAAAGTCTCCCTGTGTCGAAACTAGTAATGGGTTAGGGTTAGGACTGGAACTGGAACTGGAACTGGAACTGGAAAAGGTAGGACCGACAGAGTGTCAGCTAGAAATGCTGACTTGCAAGAGATAGAATGGTCAGATGCAGGTGGATAGACAACAAGAAATTCTGATGACCTACTCTGGACTAAATTCTAGCCCAGCCCATTGCCAATTCATTGAAATCTTGGCTTGAATTTCTGAAGTTTGCTTAAGATTCAGCTGGTAGCAGTATGAAAGACAAGCAACATAGGCTGCAATGCAGAATTGTCATTACTATCATTTCATTTTGACTGTAATAGTTACAAATGCTACTGAATCCAAAATATCCAAATCTAAGAGAGCATTTGAAACAATGTATAAATATCTTATTACTGTTTTTGCAAAAATATATATATTCAAGTATTATGAATAATTTTCTTTTCATTTTGTGTTCGCAGCTCATAAAAAGCAAGTACAAGCTATGAGTCACAACAGGCTGGGAGTTAAACAAGGTAACCCTAGTTAAGACCTGTGTGGAATTCTACCAATAAATTCTAGGAAATTAATTAGACAAGAAAGCATAGGAAAATATGGCTTTTCAAGGAGATGTTTTTACTGTTAAGCATAATTTTTGTCAGACCTGGAAGCCATATTTCTACTTTTGCGCCTTCAGGCTTCAGGCCTGCCACAAATCCTACTGGGGGAAATTGGGATGGGGTTGCATAGAAAAAAGAAGATATGTAGTCACAATAAAATTCTTTATAGAAAGTCAAGGCCATGGGACCCTGCAGCTGTGTGGAGAAGAATGAGGAGGTAACTTCTGTTCTGGACAGCAATTGATTGGATGTGTGGGGAACATGTGAGAGAGGGGCAAGGTCTTGAACTTTCTTTTGGGTGTGGAAAACCTGGATGTTCTCAGATTCAGGTTTTTACAGATGTGCCAATATCACATCTCTAATAAAAGTTAGCTTTGAGGAAATTCAAGCCTCAGAGTTTGATTTCGTTGGGAGTGTTACTTGGAACCCTGACAATTTTATCAAATATTGGGAAAAACTGGGGGGGGGAGCTAAATCCCAGCATAATAAAATAGCTCTTTATTCACAAAAAATATGCTGATCTATCCAGTTTTATCTCTTGAAGAATCGAATACTTGAATCAGGTTTTCCCAAGCTTGAAGCTTATGCTTTGTGGAAACAATAGCCAGAGGGAGTAAGGAGGCTTTGCTCATCTTTAGTTGGTGTACCAGTTGCATTCCAGGCTAGAATATAAGGCTCTTGCAACAATAATTCATGTTCTCATCACTATATGGAATGTTTATATAATTGTAATGCAATGACCTAGATTTATCTTTGAAGACCACTGAAAAACTTCAGTTAATCAAGAATGCAACATTATTGGTTATCATTTGACTTTGCCATGATGAGAACATTTATATCTGGGTTCTAGTTCATACACTGATAAACTTTTAGTGAAACACAAAGTGCTAGCAATTATCTGTGGAGCAATAATGTGCACAACAGAGGTATGGGTTCCGTTTTCCAATTGTAGTCATCCTTGCTAATCCATGCATTCTAGGAAAAAGTGCTATGAATATATCTCCATTTCCTCAAAATATATGGGATTGTAGGTGCTGCTTTCAGAATCAATGCCAATTTCTTTGGCCTTCTAGAAGTTTGAAAACAGACTCATTCCAAAAGATTTACAGGGAAAGATAGGATGCTCAAGCTTGCCTGACTTTATAGATTTTGAGGTATTGAGCTTAGATTTGATTTTATTTCATTTTAGCTTCTACTATGGTGTTTAATTTAAATGGCCTTTACTCTTATAAGCAAATGTTTAAAGCTTGTTTTTGTTATGGCATATGTTTAAAAGTAGCTGTAGTACTGTATTAATGCTATTTTTTGCCTTAAAGGAAAAATTTAATCAGTGTAAATTCTGATTTCTAGTACAAGAGCTGAAAATAATTTATTGTTCACAGATTTGGCGAAAAATGGTTTAGTAATTCCCCTCCCTTTGCATATCTAAGCAGTGTCATGCCCTTACAATGACACACATTTTGAACTTTTTCTAATTTCGGATATTTCCCATGTCTTTTAATACCTCATTGCTTTTGCATCAATCACAACCTGACCTAAAGTAACAGTGGAAGTAGATACGATATATTGTGGAATCTATTTAAATGAATTTCTGATGAATATATAAAACTGTTAGAAGAATGAATTTACTGCACAAATCTAGCATGTGCAGTGAAATCCTCTTAAATGAAAAACTGATGGAAGATTAAAATGTTAAATGAATTAAAATGCAGCATCCCAGTGATACATAACAATGATTTGACCTACTAAATAAAAGAATCAAAGAATGTAGTTCTGTGTAGTGTTCCAAGATGTCAGTTTTAAATATGCAGGAAGATCTGTAAAGTAAACACATGATCAATAGATATCTCTATTAAAGGCTAGATTTATTACAGGCTAAACAAATAGGATACATTCATTGCACATGTTCCTTCAATGGATAAAGGCAAAATGTCCTCTGTTCCTAATGGAAGCAAGAAGTGTTGAGCAATTTAATTCAGAAGTGTGAATTGGAGAATTATTGCATTTCAAAGATATCCAGAGGGCCTACTCAATTAGCTCAGCTGAATAAAAATATGGAAACAAATGAAGAATTACCATAGTGCTTCAGGAGCTTGAAAATTGCACTTGGTTAATCTGCTATACAAAATGTCTATAAATTGATTCGTTTGGTAAAAAATATACTGGCTTAATATACTGTATACTATTTTTCTTTAGCTCAGTGGTTCTCAACCTGTGGTCGGGACCCCTTTGGGGGTCGAACAACCCTTTCACAGGGGTCGCCTAAGACCATAGGAAAACACATATTTTCAATGGTTTTAGGAATAATGTTATGGTTGGGGGTCACCACAACATGAGGAACTGTATTAAAGGGTCACGATATTAGGAAGGTTGAGAACCACTGCTTTAGCTTAATTTCTATAGCTATATGTGCTTTCCTATAATAACTGGCCTCCTTTTCATAACTTTTTTTAAATAGAACAATGATATTCTCTCCTATTTCTTCCTTTCAGGACAAAAGATCATTTGTTTTTAAATTATCTTGTAAATTGGCTAATATTTAAAAAATGCCTTTATACATTGAAGAAATCTCTGGGCCAAAGTCAATTTAATTCCACTGCAATGGAATATAGTGCAATAAGCATGTTGAAATGTTCATAAGGAAAAATAATAATGAAATAAAAATTAATTACAGGAAATCAATAATCAATGAAGTAAAAGTTAAAAAAATAATTAATTCAGCCTGAACTAATCCAGATCAGGGATAACGTCTAGCTTGACATATCAGGCTAAATATGCTTCTTACATATGTCTGGGAAGGGTGGGTGAATGCACATAATAAGGGGAGGGGAGAGAAATATAGCTACATTGAAAACTTCCCCCAAATTAAACTGGCAAAGATGTATACATTAATAAAGAATGTCATTTACAATATGTGGTTGCAAGGCAAAAAAATAAAGCTAATACAGATAGTTCTAGACTTACAATGATTCATTTAGAAACAATTCAAAGTTAAAATGATGCTGAAGGAAGAGACTTATGACTCATACCTGACGTTATGGCTGTTGCAGTGCCTCTGCAGTCACATGCTCAAAATACATGTGCTTGGCAACTCACCTGAACGTACAATTGCAATTTTCCTCACCACCTGACTCCTCTCCATCTGCGTCTTTTAGATCCCCTGCTGCCCTGCCTCAACCAGCCCAGCTGATCTTCACCATATTTTTGCCCCTGCTGCTGATGAGACTTAACCTGCCTGGTTGCTGAGCTGGACTGGAACTAGTTTTGCACTATGGAAGAAAAAAAAAAAGCACAAAGCAGTTTAAAGGGGATGTGGTGTGCCCCTTTGCACCACAGTTCTGGCTATACTATAATGCAGGCTTTGTGCTGCAAAAAAGAAAAGAAAAATTGCTTTGCTTTGAAATTCTGATTTCAATTGTAGTCATGTGTAATACAGATTAATGGACTCACACTAACAGAATAGTGTAATAGATGAATAGTAGTTTTCATAAACTACAGCCATTTCACATATGTTTTGTATATAGTTGTGTTTTTTAATAAAAACTTTCTCATTCATTCTAGATTCTCCTACTATTTTGAATTTAGGATCGCTGATATCCCAACCTGTTGGGAAATGTATGTTTCATTTTTCCCCCCTCCTTTAATTGGAATTTTTTTTTAATTTTTAATTTGATTTATTTGAAGAAACAGAATTGTCAAAACATCTCATTATAAACTAGTTATTTTTAATTCTAAATATTCTAGATTTGTATAGCCTAAGATACTAATAATTTTTATTGTTACTTCAGTGAAAGAATTCTGCTGAATTCATTGATGTACTTTGATAAAATAAAACAAAATCCAAACTTCAGCAATAATAGACCATAATATTATATATGTGGTGCGGGAAACATAGAGGATTTAGATAAATGTAATACATGAGTACCAAAATGATTTTGAGTTTTGCAAATTAGACTTTTAAATAAAAGTTTGGCAATCTTTCCCTTTATAGAAAAAGACCTTGCCTTGGGGTATATGCGTGATTTCTTCACTTCTTAAAACTTTTTATCCAAACTAACTTTATTTATTTATTTTGATTGTCTGAGATTATTTCCATTGTCTCAAATGTATCTCATTAATTTTATTCAGAATAATTCAAAATGTGTGTTCTAATATTTTTATAAAGTTTAGTAAACTTGTACATTGCCAATCTTTTATTGTGTACTTCATACAGTTTGATTTAAGATTGCATTTGAAGGAAGAGGGCTAATCATACAAAACCCAAAACTGCAACCTCAAGCTATTTTATAATAGCCTGATATAGTCACTAGATTTTATAAAAAAAATAAAAATAATCCACAACACTCAGGCTATTATTTATCAGAAAAAAGCAGTTGCTATATATTTTTAAAACAGAAAACTGACAAATGTAGAGTAAGAGGTATCTAGATTAGAATTACCATTATGCTTTCAGTTTTGACAGTTGTATCCTAAAGTTTATATACCTCAACATGGATATGTATGCAGGTAGTCCTCGACTTATAACCACAATTGAACCCAAAATTTCTGTTACTAAATGAGACATTTGGTAAGTGAATTTTCCCCATTTTACGACCTTTCTTGCCACAGTTAAGTTAGCAATATGGTTGTTGGGTGAATTTGGCTTCACCATTGACTTTGCTTGTCTAAAGGTTGCAAAAGGTGATCACATGACCCCAGCACACTTGAAGTGTCATAAATATGCGTCAGTTGCCAAGCATCTGAATTTTGATCACTTGACCTTGGGAATGCTGCAATGGTGGTAAGTGTGAACAATGGTCATAAAGCACTTTTTTCTGTGCTGTTTTAATTTTGAATAGTCACTAAATGAATTGTTCTAAATTGAGGACTACCTATATTATGGAAAATCAATGACTGATGATTTCATGGGCTGGATAACAAAGGTATGGGTATACATTTCTATCAGGGGTGGGTTCTACTTACCTTTACCACCAGTTCGCAATGGGATTGTGTATGCGCAGATCGCTGATGACGATATCCAGGGCGGTGGGCAGGGCCTCCCACTGGTTTTACTACCAGTTCTTGTAAACCGGTCCGAACCAGGGGCAATCCACCACTGATTTCTATTCATTTTCTTCTCATTCTAACTGACAGTGCTATTAAAGAAAATGCAATGTGTTACATGACTCACAAAAAAGGCAGAAATGCATAGATAATAAGACATTTTCAAATTGTGTAATTGTACTGTATATATTTTATATATTTTTCCAAGCCTTCTGTTTGGCTATATATTGCCAATAGAGACAGAGTTAGATAGTGCCAAGTTATACCCAAGAAGAATGTTCACATTCTGAAATAAAATAGGAACCAAATTGTTCATTTGTCTGTTTTGATTGTTCCGTTGTACAAAACAAGTTCTATGTAACTCAGTGTTTTGTAATTGGTCCAATTTCTTCTTATTATGAATAGTTATTACCCAAAGTCAGATATGATAGATGACTAATGGCACCTTACAGGTGTATTACATATAGGTAACAATATACAATATGTATAGATATAGGCCAAGTTAAATGAGAATTATGAGAATTGCACTTCAGAACATAAGGAGAATATTGATTTGAGGAATGTTGGATTTACTAGTCAGCAAAGTGAGTCACCATTTGCTTTTCCATTTTATTTTAATTAAGAACTAGACTTTTAGGAGCTTATCAGAAAAGGCAAAGTATGTGAGTATGTGTGTGGAAGAGAGCAAAGGAAAGAGAGGAAGACAAAGTAAAAATATATAATTTTTGATTTTGAAAATATACAATTTTGATTGACTCTAATTGTTCAATGCAGTGATATGACATTTTCATACTTAAAGGAATAAGTATGAAAGTACTTATTATAAGTAGAATTTTCATTTCTAGGAAAAGAACAGATATATTAACATCATCAGGGAATTTAGCCAAAAACTAGACCCTATTTTGGTTTCTTTTTCTGATTTTTTTTTTAAATTCACATGTTCATGTTTTCTATGAGTCATAAGAATTTGTAACAAGGTAACATGCAATAAAGCAACACAATGCAATGTAACTTATTGCCTGCAGTCAAAAGTACATTCAAAAGAATTTCTAAGTCACTAGATTTGAATTACTATTCCATCCATCTTCTAACAAAGATATTTTACATTGGAAATACCTATTTCTTGGAAGCACCACTGCATAGAATATTTATGCAATATTACCCCAGGGTAGCAGAAAGCACAGACTGGTAAGGAGACCATATAAGCACACATCTTTTTAAGTACTCATTCAGTGCATAATACATAACAGTCTGGATCATTCCAATCCATTAAAATAAATAAAAAATGTAAATATGAATGGTACAGATATAAGATAGATCATGAATAATATCTAACATTATGTACAAAGATGACGTGAAAGCTTTTTTATGCAACAACAGCATAGCTTGAAGCAACTTGAGAAGTGGCTTTAAAGGTAAAGGTAAAGGTCCCCCTCGCACATATGTGCTAGTCGTTCCTTACTCTAGGGTGTGGTATCATCTCCGTTTCTAAGATGAAGAGCCAGCGCTGTCTGAAGATGTCTCCATGGTCATGTGGCTGACATGACTAAACGCCAAAGGCACATGGAACGCTGTTATCTTCCCACCGAAGGTGGTCCCTATTTTTCTACTTTTTTACATGCTTTTGAACTGCTAGGTTGGCTGGGACAAGTAATGGCAGCTCACCCTATTATGCAGGACTAGGCATTTGAACCGCTGAACTGCCGACCTTTCGATCAACAAGCTCAGCGTCTTAGACACTGAGCCAGTGCATCAGCATTGTTATCTGAGCTTCAGAAAAGTATTACAATTATGTGAGTCTGTTTGGTCCCTTTCTCTTCTGAGACATTCACCTTGAGTAGATTTGAAATTATGTCTAGCATTTTTAACCATTAGTTACCTAGAATCAGCAGCAGTATTCATGAAAATAGCAGCCAGATTCTCCCATGGTCTTTCTTCAAGGCTTGAGATTTTGTCAGTGATTCTAAGAATGATGGTTCAGAGTTGCATTAAAAAATACAAAATGTAAAAGCAACTTTTTGAGAAATTGCATGCATTTGATTGGCAAAGATTGAATATCAAGGTTTAAAAACCTTATGGACTGAAGGTTTATTTGAGTTTATTTCTGGCTAAATTAAAGAGAATTGCTGATTATTTATAGTCAAATCAGTGTTAATAAAATGAGCTCAAAAATCTGTCAGATATTTTCTTGTAAATAACTTATGAGAACCAATATACTATACTGGTTAAGGTATTTGAATAGGAACAGGAAAACCCATATTCAAATTCCTCTTCAATAGTGATGGTCACTTAAACTTTCAGCCAAACACTCTTCCCGGATTTAACCTGCTTAGAGATAAAACTGGGAGACTCCCCTATACATTATCTTGAGAATTTTAAAACAAATGCATATTAATCGGGTTACACATACAAATAGTCTTCTCTGTTTCTTCACTGTTTAATGACCATCCATAACAACATGGTATGCATGTTCTCCTAACTGATGCATCCAATGAAGCAGATGTAGCCTGTGAAACTTCATGGCAGAATAAATCTGTTGTTTGCATAGCATCATAGAACTCTGGTATTTTTGCTGCAATAAATGCTGTTCATATGGATATTATTTTCTTAGAAATTCTATTATCTGAATATTCTAACTATGAATGTGAGTTCTTTATGAAAAGCTGTTTTTTTCACTAAATGCTCTTGCCAGTTAGAACACTTAATCAATGGAATAACTTGCCTCCAAAAGTTGTGAATGCTCCAATGCTGGAAATTTTTAAGAAGAGACTGAACAGCCATTTGTCTGAAATAGTATAAGTGCTGGACTAGAAGACCTCCAAGGCAGGGGTGAAATGCTCCCGGTTCGGACCAGATCACTCAATCCGGTAGCGATGGAGGCGGGTGGTTCAGAGAACCGGTAGCAAAAATCCCTGCTCCCCCCATTGCCCAGCTGAGCTGCGCAATCATCAGAGGCTTTTTTTTATTTTTAAAAGCATTTTTTCTACAACCTCTTTGGCTGAAAAAATGCTTTTAAAAGTTAAAAAAAAAGGCTCAGATGATCACGCAGCTCAGCTGGGATCGTCAGAGGCTTAAAAAAAAAAAAAGAAAGCCTCTGCCAATCAGGCAAGTCAGCTGGGATCGTCAGAGACTTTAAAAAAAAAAGAAAGCCTCTGCTGATCAGGCAAGTCAGCTTACAAATTCAGCCAAAGAGGTTATAGAAAAAATGGTTTTAAAAATAATAAAAAAAAAAGTTGGCCACCACCAAGCCACGCCCACAGAACAGGTAGTAAACAAATTTTATATTTCACCGCTGCTCCAAGGTCTCTTCCAATTCTGTTATTCTGCTTTTTTATTATTTACAGAACATGATTATACTTTAGGTTATTATCTCTCAAAGCTCCAGATTTCTGAAAATGTATACAGACCAGGGTCTGGTTTGTATGAGAGTCCAGTCTTTCTTTTTTTATCGTTTAAACAATTCCATCACCTTTACAAATCTATTTCATCTTCTTTAATTGCTTTTAAATCATTTTCATATTTTTTCTAGGTTATAATTGAGTCCATATAGATTATTTTTCTATATTTTAACTTTTGAACATGTACCATCCAAATAGACAGCATAATCGTGGTGTGTTATGAAAACACACCCACATACACAGAAACAAATATTCATAGATATTTAGAGAACTTCCACTTCCAATACCACATTCCAGTTCCTCAAAAGTAGTTAGAAATCAATCTATAATTGACAGCATCCCATTTGAAAATAAAAGGATAATTACTGTTCTGCCTTAAATTTCATACAAAATCTTTTTAACATGCTTTGCTTGAAACAAATATAGGAAACAAAATATAGGAAACATTATGCTGTCATATCAGATCAATCTAGAATTTTAGAATGAGTTTTTTCTAGCTCTACAGGGATTGAATGCAAACATTTTTGCATTTAATGCTTGCCAGATTTTCCTTAACTTAAAAGCAGTGAAATGCCAAAGTTTTATCTGTGCTTTTTTATGGCATGAGATTTGATGGCAAAAATTTTGAAGGGCAATATTTTGATAACATTGTTATGATGGCCTACTACACATGTGGGCTGCTGCTCTGTATATAAATTATAGAGCAACAAAAGAGAAGTCTTGAGAAACTTGAAAATCAAATCTCAGCCAATATTCATTGAAACCAGTAATGGGTTCCACTTACCTTCGCTACCAGTTCGGAGCTGTGCATGCACAGAGCATCCATGATGACGTCCAGGCGGGTGAGCGTAGCCTCCTGCCACTGCCACTACTGGTTCGCTTAAACCAGGGCGAACCGGTAGAAACCCACCACTGATTGAAACTGACATAGGCTATTGCTCCAAATAAGTATCATTAAACAATCATCAATTAAATCCTCAAATTCAGTAATTGTTGAAAGACCATTATTCAAATTTCACAAGTGAATTAGGACTGAACAATTAAAATAATAACTGATCTCAGATGTGTGCCTCCATCTTTTCATTTAAAAACTATATTTCAAGAAGTCTTTTGTGCTACAAAGCTATTATCTTAATCCTTGAAATCTATATATAAATAAAATTTTGGGTATCTTATTTAATTATATCATTAAACAAAGTCTCAACTTCTAAATTGTTATTTAAAGCATTCCAAAAAAATGGTGCATACAAAAGTTTCATTGGGTCACTGTGACTTAGTATATATGCTTGAAAGACATTGTTGACAGTTAGAAGAAAAAAATGTATTATGCTGACAAAGTGTGTTAGTTTGTTGGTGTAACAAAATGCCATTTAATGATGTGTAGTTATAAATGGAATTATGTGTAGTTATAACCAGAATTAAAAATAAAATAATCTTCTTCAAAAACAAAAGAAGTGTTGTAATCCTGATTTTATGATGTATCCTAAATATGTCTTTTTCCGTTATATAACACAATGAAAGATTTTGCAGAAAGAGTAAATTGTATAGTATGGTCCTATTTTTAAGCATGTATGTTTTGTATACTATATAGATATGAGATAGACTTTGTATATGAAATGATCATGTTCTTGTTCACATGAATGGGAAAATTTCCTTATCTCATATAGCTTCTCCTCTAACAGAAGAGAGAGAAACTATTTTAATTAATTTCTTTCTGATAGATGGAAGGATAGACAAGGGGCAACATGCATTGTGATGATACCCCATAAGTACATTCCTTATATATTTGCTAGCTTATAACAATACAAATGAATGAAACTTACTTCATAATGTTTTAATGTTAACCATGTTTACTTGGAAAAACCCATGCTTCTTTCTGTGCAGTTACCTATACTCCCTGGAAAATATTTTTCATAGGGCTTAGAAGCCTCTTCCAGAACATATGAATTGCAGGGAAAGAAGGAAATGATTTAAAATTCTTTGCCCTGATTTGTTTTTTTACTGAAATTTATTGAGGATTCCATGACAATGAAACATAAACAATCTTCTTCTTCTTCTGGAATATTTTATAGAATTTTCTGAAAACCTTCCATCCAAATAGTAAGTGGGCTTGACTCAGCTTAGCTGTGACCTGTCACATAGCTGGAAATGCATCCTATCTTTAATGATTATGGAAGCTTTATGGCTGATTGTTCTGTGGCAAGTTCAGCGCTATAGTGACCTTCATCAGGTTATTATACAAATTGGTAAGCTTTTGCTTGCAATCAGAGTCAGAGTCAAGTAAAACTAGTCCTGTTCCTTTCATGTCATCCTTTAGGTATAGAGGATAAAAGGAATTATTAAAAAATGCTCTATTATTTATAGGGGATATGCAGGTAAAAAAGTTCATCTGTGAATAAACAGTAATCTGAAGAGGGCATGTATGGGATGGTGCATTGATTTCTATTCCCCCTCATTGTAAGTATCATATCACTGTTTTTCATAAAGCCAATTAATCATTTACCAACCACATGTTATATAAAATGTCATATATTTATGAATTTGCCATTCTTACATTCCTAGGCTGATTTTGCCTACTGATTGATAGATGAACATTTGCTTGAATATGCAGTAGCTGTATCCTCTGACCAATTCTTGTAGAGGCTTGCAGGATGGTTGGGCAGTCTGGAAATGAGCCAGAACCCTTGAAAGCATTATTACAGAAACCTTCCCATACATGCAGGGCTCCCTTATTGTCTTCCAGCCATTAACAAAAGGTTTTGTACTGTAACTATCCAGTTATTCAGGAGTACTTTAGAAATACATGTAAATGTATTTCTAAATGCATATACACACATGGCCAATACCCTAAATACTTAACCTGTCATCTAAAATTTGATTAGAATAGAGGCAAAAAGTGATTATATCATGCCTAAAAGTCTAGTTTCTTAGTTTTGCAAATGTTATTTCCTTTACATTTGCATAATGTTAAGGAAATAACAGTGCATAATGAACATAATGCCTTCTTAAAAATGCCTTATATGAATTAAAATCCAGTCAAGTGATACTAATATCCTAGTGACTATTTGAATTACCACATTTTTATAACTATAGGCCTACTTATAGTAAAACAACTATACATGTATTTCAGAATGTGAAAAACTAAGAATATATTATTCAGAGGTGGAATTCAAAGGTTGCACATAATATTTGCATGCTTACACGTAATTCCTCTGGGAATTTGTGGATTTGTAAGGTATTATCTGAACTATGTAAGAAGCATCAATATGTATTTTGCAAACTAGTGCTTTGAGAATTTTTTCCCCAATAAAATAATTTGGAATGTCAAGAAGTTATAATAACCCTTCCATTCAAATATTTATTATTAATATTAACAAATTAAATATATTGAATACATGAAACACTGCATAATCCATCTGTTCAAGTGTGGGTGTTATGAACAGCATGAAATGTTCTATTTCATTAGTTCACAAATAGTTTTATTTTTTTTAAAAAAAATCCATCAGCAGTAACAGCTTGTCTTTGACGTAGCAGGCTGGTCTGACTTTGGAATCTAGGCATAATTTCAACCAAGATTGTCACAAAGCTTCTGAGTGAACTGATTATATATATATATATATATATATATATATATATATATATATGAATGATATTCTCAGGAAGGCAGGCAGGCAGGCAGGAAGGAAGGAAGGAAGGAAGGAAGGAAATGAGTCTGTTTTTTTAAAAAAAGAAAGAAATATTTACCTGTGAAAGGGCAGAATGCTATGGGATAAAAGAAGAATGTGAAGATAGTGGGAATGTTGATAGATATTTCTTATCATAGGAAGCTGTGTGTGATGTTATAATGCACATGTCTCCCCTTATCACTAAGTATATTTCTGTATCAGAAATCCTTAGAAAACTGATAGAAATCTTTTCCCCCATAGGAGGACTCTACAAATAAGAGTCTCTTTATAATAACTAGAAAATTGGTTAATGCTTGCTCAATATACTGTGTAGATTTCCATTTTTAAATTGAATTCAATGTTACATACCAGCATGGCCATAGGGGTAGTAACAGTAGTTTTGAATGCATAGGAATAAAGGGAGGAGGAGATATGTATAGGATTCTAGTAGCTGCTCACAAGGGAGGGCAGGGGGCAAGCTACAGAAATACTATGAGTCCCAATATAGAAGGATTTTACATTCTTTAGGCTCAATCAATATTACCAAATTTTAGAAAGACTAGAAACGAAATCTTACAGAAGGAGTAGGTTTAGCCCACATAAAAAAATAATGAAGATCTTGGTTCTTAATAGTGTTCTTCAAACACCTAAAGGGATGTCATGCTCAAGGAGATCATAATCTGTGTGAGGAATATGGAATAATGGATTTAAGGTCTATGTCAGTTTTAGAAAGTCAAAACACTTCCTAACAGCAAAAGTAATTCAACAGTGAACAAATTACCAGAAAGGTGATGGACTCCACTTCATTAAATATATTCAAGCTGATGCTTCACTAAGCAGAGAATTTGATGGTCTAAATAACCCTTACAATAGTACGATTGTAATTACATTTTATTTTTTAAAAAATGTGTACACCATCACATTATAATATTGACTAGTTGTAGTTATTGCTTTCCTTAAATTTTTTAAAATTGCGTCTTTATTACTTTATATGACAGCAAACATACATAATCCTCCTTCTGTATCCTCATAGTCAGAAGTATCTTCTGTTAACATTTTTCTGAAGTTTAAAAACCAGGTCCTCAAAAAATCTAAAGTCCTGAGTATTACTCTTAGCCCATTTCAAGAAGTTGCGTGTTGTATTTATTTTTTAAATACATAATAACAAAGCTACTACATATCATGGTAGAATATTTAATAATTGACATACTTAGTTTGGTTCTTTGGCATTTCCCAGCTTCTGTAATCTCAGTAGTAATGTAAATAAATCATAATTTTAATTTGAATCACATTTGAGAATCTTGTTCCTTTAAAAAAGGGAGAATCTTCCTCTTAAAAAAATATTTTTAGTATAAATGGTTCCATATTTTTGCTGTGCTTTCATCACAAGATACACAAAAACAAATAAAAAAATAAAAACTTAATTTTTGAATTCAATGGTGAGATAAAATAAAGACAGATCAAATGAGCAATCATGCCAATCTTTACCATATCACACAATACCTATTCATCTCTGCAAGCTGAAAACGATAATCTGACGAAGTTTTAATTCTGAGAATAAACAAAGCCCTTGTCATAATTTATTTCTCTAGACTTTGAGGTGCTTCTAATAGTGTTTTCTGTGGCTACATTGGCAAAAATAAGAAGAGGAGGAGGCTTTCATTATTTATGCAAAATATTATGTTGCAAGGATCATGAAAGGAGAAAAAGGAATACTAGATTTCACCAATTTCACAGTTATAATTGCAATCCAGACTTGACTGGTCATTCTAATGACAGTGGCTGTGTGGATTTTTGTTTTCATTTTTCACAGACTGCATTAGGTACCTGACTTGATCAAGTGAAACATTCATTTTATGGACGAGATCAGAAAGTTAATTTCTTATAAACTGCCTGATTACCAATGATTAACTCTGCTGCATTCATGCAAGAATATCATCATTCCTTTTGCACAAAACGTCTCTGGTCATACCTGTCTGAAATTTGGCATGGCTGTTCTGCACTGTAGGAATTGCATGGCTGCAAATTAAATTATACTCTGTTGTCTAGAGAAACACTATGGATACCTTTTTAAAAACTCAAATGTTAAAGGAGAATTCTCAAGAATATGTCTTCTTACTTTAAAAATTACCCCCAGGAAAAGAGGCAGAAAAATACTTGCCACTTTTAACAAAGAAAGTAGCTAAGCAATTTGTTGCAAATACTACTTGATCTATTCCTACCAAGGGTATTATCCAGCCAGTTTTGCATGATTCATGTAAATCAGTTTTTAAAAAGTTAATACAAAAAAAGTTCACCAAAGAGTGAAGGAAAGAAGTTGAGAGAAACAAAACTGAGAATGCACAGATTTTAAGAAAGGTTTTAAATTGGGATATATAATTCTGAATCAACCATGGCAGCTTGGCAAGGATTTGATGTCGAGGCTTTGTAAAGATACTGTGGAAAAAGTGGCTCCCTTCTCACCCCAGGATGTAGTTTTGGCTGACAGCTGGGTTGTTCTCCGTGCCATTGTCATTTGTTTATGCTCAATGTAGCTGATGCACCACTGGATCTCTGAGTTAGTTGCAACTGTGGAGAGGGAAGAGGATATAATTCAGAAGGTAAAAGTATTGGTGAGGATAATACTACTCTGCTTATTCTACTTAGATTTTTTCTAGGAGCTAATCAAACATTAGACTCTTTTCTTAAGGAAGGTGTTCCAACTGGAATTATTGTTGGAGAAAGTTGTTACCTAATTAATATAATCCCCTGTCATATCAAATTATAGGAATAATGATAATTTCTATAGTCTCACAAGATTGTTTTATCAGCTGTCCTTCTGTAACTCTTACTAGAAATTCAGTATACTCAGCTAATTTCTGTGTTAAATTTGTTCAGAACCCAGTACTATGTCTAGCACTGCACCTATGTTATTTTATATCTTTAAATACTTTATTCCTTTTGAGCATCCTTCATGAATTTATAAAATGTAATCACATCTCTCTCAAACAAATTTTACTAACTGAAGTAAATTATATTACCAAAGTTAAATGTAGAATTTAAAAATCTCTTTGTTATCTTTATTGCACATATATGGAGGCATTTTATTTGGCATTTTATAACAAAAATAAGAGTTAATTGCACCTTAGAAAATAAATTTATTTTGGCATAAATTTTGTTGATCAGATTAACAGATTTTTAGTTTATAAATTTTGTTGAATAATGAGTAATTCATCATCAATATGTTATAAACTCCTTCACTATTTTGAGTGGATAGGATTTAATTTGTTATATTTTGTGTTTCCATATTCCAAATTATTTGTCATAAAGCATTTTTGCTTGCACTCTGAATCTTGTACAGCTCTGCAATATATATATGATAGGAAATGGACAATATGTTAATTATGACTCACTGTCATTTTTGCAGGATACAAAAAAAAAGTAGTATCAATGTTATAGTCCCTTAAGACGTCAATTTAGTTAATTTACAAGTTAACATAAAAAATTAATGAATATAAACATACCAAATGTTCTCTTTTAGCACTGAACTAACAAGGCCCTCTTTCTCTGTCTATAGTTTTCTAGAAAAATTGAACTCAAAATTCCATAATTTCTAGACATTAAGAGTTGCAGGTAAAAAAGGGTTATTTATACTAACTCACTATTGTATCTTTACAAGAAATTGCATGTTGTGATGAGATGTTTCATATTTTTCTCATACTTGGGTAATTCAATTCATTTTTCACATTTGAACATTCAAATTTCAAGTGAACATATGTATTGACATATATGCATTGACATATATGGAATGTTTATAATGTTCAGATATGATTAGCAAGAGAAATAAAGAAAGAACTATCCAATGTCTTCAACTTCTGAAATAGATAGACCCTAATTAAGTCTATGTGCACTAATGTTCCTACTTGCAGGGGTGGAGCTAGGCGGAATCAGACATTCTGCATGTTCTTTTCTGTTATTCTGTGTCCAAGTTTCTAAACAGGAACAGACACATTTAAGAGTTTTGTATATCAGAAAAACAGAACAATAAATAGTAAATTTGTTCACATTTGAGAACTATCAGGGTTGTGATAGTTCTGAGCACAACTCTTATGTGAAGACGCTGATCAATATTACAAGTGTGTTTTATTGAGCTATAATATGCAATAATAATTTTAAAAGACATTAGGAAATCTGTAAAGGTCTCTTCCTTTTTTTCTTTGGACCATAACTATCTACTATTAGTATTGAATGACTGAAATGTTGAAATAAATTTATTTATTTATCTATCTATCTATCTATCTATCTATCTATCTATCTATCTATTTATTTATTTATTTATTTGATTTCTATACCGCCCTACTCCCGAAGGACTCAGGGCAGTGCACAGCCAAACAATAAAATACATACATACAAAATTTAAAAGTGGAATTAAAATCAAATTAAATAGTTTTGGCCCAGACAAATTAAAACCCCAATCAATTTAAAACCAATTTTAAAATTTGAATATATAAAATACTAAAAAATATTAAAAATTAAAAATCTTTTATAAAAGAGGGAAAAAATTAGGCCAGGCCCACCTGGTGAAATAAAAAGGTCTTTAAAGCGCGGCGGAAGGTGCGCAGATCCGGGATCCTCCGTATCTCCAGGGGGAGCTCGTTCCAGATAGTAGGTGCCCCCACAGAGAAGGCTCTCCCCCTGGGGGCTGCCAGTCGGCATTGTTTGGCCGATGGCACCCGAAGGAGCCCCTTTCTATGGGAGTGTACCAGCCGGTGGGAGGCTATTGGTGGTAGTAGACGGTCCCGCAAGTACCCAGATCCTGAGCCATGGAGCGCTTTAAAGGTGAAACTTTAAACCAAAACCTTGAAGTTTGAATGTTGAAAGAGACACTTTCTAATTCCCTGCCTAAGGCAAGAGTCAAATTAAGACAATTAAGAGATTTATGTTCTAGAATTATTTCAAAATTAGTGTAAAAGAATAAAAGAAATACATACATAAAAGCTGTCAATGTCCCTGTGCATGTTTTTCCTGAAATGAGATCCACTGAATCCAAATAGGTGTGCAGATAATAGCAACAGACATCCATTAATCAATTCTTTGTCCCATTTAAAATTATAAAATAAATAATTCCATATTCCTTTATATAGTTATGCAATACAAAATATCTAAAAGTAATTTGCAACAACTTGTTATACCTTTATACTTGTCCCTCAAATAATGGCCTTGTGAATGGAACAGAACCCAGAGTTTGAAACCAGAGTGTGTCTGATAATAAACAAATGTAGACAAGGCACTCATAACATTTATAATGCATTCTTGATGCAGTTACATAGATTAGTTTGTTCCATTGCTTCTTCTTTATTTTTGTGATGTTATTACATAGTTTGATAGATGAGGCAACATAACAAATTTATATACAGTTTATGAAAAGTCCTGTGGTTTCATGTATAAATGAAGATTTTGCCAGCCAATCCTGTCATTCAATTCAATTCAATTCAAACCTTTATTGTCAGAGTACAGCATGTGTACTATGAGATTGGCTGAGCCTCCCATTGTGCACCCCAACACAATATGACTCATAGTGAAAGACAAAAGAAAAAAAAATCCCTATCCCAGTGAATCCTGCTAACAAACACCCAATCCTATGGCACCTTGTGAACTTATTGCACGTTGTGCTGGCCCAGCAAATCAATCGTACTATGTTGTAGTTATTTTCCATTCAAGAGTGTGACAGCCCATGGATAAAAACTGTTCTTCAGCGTCTGCCTATGCTTCTATATCTCCTTCCCGATGGAAGGAGAATAAAGAAGTGCTGACCAGGGTGTGAGTCATCAACTGAACTAAAACAACAGCTCAGATAAATGGCTGTAAAGGTCCAGTTATTGTGGGAAACTTCAATTGCCCATAGCATACATATGGATATATGCCATACTATTTTCTTTTTGCCAAGTAGTTGAAGAAAGAATAGGTATCAATGGTACTTATCAATTGAAGATGGAAAAAGAACTCAGTGTATATGCAGAGAGATAACATAGACGCATCCATGCCCTATATTTCAAAAAGCCAACATAAACCTTAAAGTTTGTAGCTTTATCAATATAACTGTCCAATATAACTACTGTGAAGCGTTAGTTGTAATATTGGTGATGATATTTTCAAGGACTCATAGGTCATCAGTGACATTTGTGAATGTAATTAGCTTGTTAGGCATCTTTCTTTAGATTGCTGAATGAGAGTAGCTTTCCTCTCACAATTGATTTAACTGTTACGATGTTTGTTTCGAATAGGCAGGTGTTCTGCATACAGATGCTGCCTGGACTTGGATAAAGAAATGGGTGTTTCCATCTAATGCTAGACAGATGCGATAAAGTATCTTTTATTGACAGGCACAAATGACAGTGATCACTGGGCTCCTTGCCAAAGAACTGCAGAAGAGCCCTGAACAAAGCAAGGTTATAAGTTATATACATTTGGTTAGTTTCATTATAAAAGAAATATAAATCATAGTATGGCTCTACATGAGAAAGCCTTTAGTAAAATATTGGGAGAAACTTTATTATAGTTTCACAGCATTCCTCCATATTATCAGGATTTCATTCCTCTAGATTCCTTCTATTCTGCGAGATAACCATACCTTAGTCTTTTAATCATTCTAGCAGTCCTTTCCCCATCTTGATAGCCCTTCTTTGAACTTGCTCCAGTTCATCAATGTCCTTTTAAACTGGATGTGCATGACTAAAAACAATACTTCAAGTGAAGTTAGACCAAGACAAGGTAGATCAGGATAATTACTTCCCATAATCCGAATTCTATGCCCTTCTTGATTGTTCTTCAAGATGTTGCTGGTCTTCTTTGTGGTTGCATTATACCACTGGGACATGTTTAGCTTGTGATCCATTAATATACCCAAGTCTTTCTCACATGTGATGCTCTTAAGGCAGATTTCCCCCATTCTGTGTGTTTTTTTCATTGTTCTTACCTAGATGTATCACTTTACATTATTTTCTCTTGATTTTCATTCTATTTTTTTCTTCCCACTCTTCTAGATGTCTTTTTATATATATTTTTTCCTTCTCTTCCCAAGTATTAACCATTCTTCCTATTATCTGAAAATTTGAGAAGAATTCCCTCAAATTCTTTTGTCCACATTATTTTTAAAATGGCTAAGCAGCACCAGGTATCCTGTAGTATCCTACTCAATACTGTATGTCTTTTCAGTTAAATGTAACCCCATTTATAATTATTCTTTCAGTATGAACCTTCAGCCAATTGTGAATCTACTTAGTAGTTGAGTTGTTAACCCCAAATGGAACATTTTGTTGATAAGGATGCCACGAGAGAGTTTGTCAAAAGCCTTGCTATAGTCAAGATATACTATATCCCTAACATTTGTCTGATTATCCAATCTAGTAACTATCATAAAAGAAGATCAAGTTGTCATGATGACAAGACTGTAACTGAGGTAAAGCTATAAAGTTTAGAAGAAATCTGTTATTTGAACCCAATTTTGTCAAGCTAATCATGGACCTGCATGATTCTTTCGGAAACCTAAATGGGGGAAGTACATTCCTCTGGCTGTTTTGGAAAGGGGT